TTTCACCTTCTGCTTTCCTGATGGTGCTGCAGAGGAATGGAATGGAAAAAGTTTGATAATTCCCTTTACCTGCAGCATGGGCTGTTTTCTTTTCTGCCAGTTTGGTTCTTTTCTGATGAACTGATGGTAAAATGGGTTAGTGTAAAGGGAAGGTGTAATAGTAATGTGTTTAAATGTAATAGTAATGTGTTTAAATAGTAATGTGTTTGAAAAAAGTTTGGATGTGGCAGTCAGTGCCATGGTTTAGTTGAGGTATTGGGGCATGGGTTGGACTCAATGATTTTGAAAGTCTCTTCCAACCTAGTCATTCTGTGAATTCTGTGAGTTCTGTAATGCTGAAATATTTCCTTGTCTCTCACAAGTTACATCTGTAAATTAGAAATTGCACAAATATGGAAACTGTAGTGTCAAGGACTGACACCAATCCTTGAACAGAGCCTGAGTATTTATTAGGTCACTGTTAGAGTGACCTCTCCTTTGCCTCTAATGAGCATTGCAAGGTCTTTCAGGGTCGTTTTTTACTGTCTGAGCAGGGAGTTCAGCCAACAGTGTACACACTGAGAGCCCAATTAACAAGGTGGCTCATCCATGTACAAAACCATTGATATTTTCAAAGTTTTTTGAAACCTGTCCTAAACTGAGCCATTCAGTGTGGCAGCTTGTGCTGGGAGTTTAGATCTGCATTTAAACATCAAACTGGGAAGAAGCAAACCCCCCCAAATCCAGTCAGGAAAATAAAAGATTATATTTATAACTGTAGGAATTTATTGCAAACTCCATCACCAGCCTAGGTCCTCTGAAAGATTTGTATCATCTGCGTGATCAATACATGAAGTCTCCTTAATGAAACACTAGATCTGGAATCTTTTATCTCAGGAAACCCAGAAAACAGAGTGCAATCTGTGTTTCCCCAGTGGAAGTGCTGATAATGTCTCTTTTATTATATGGTCAAGTTGGGTTTTATTGTCACTCCTCAAACTGGGTATTAATGGAATTATATCCTGACCTGTACCAGCAACAGTGTGGCTAACAGGACCAGGGCAGTGACTGCCCTCCTCCCCTCAAATCCTATTTCTTTTCACCTTGAATGTTTGTTTTGGCCTTTTTCATGTGGCTAGTCAGTAATATGTACTTAAGGCATGTGGCCTCAGGAAAAAGATGTAGTAGGAGTTAAAGTAGTCATATTTATGGCTGTGTTTGATTGTGCTTTTTTCATTTGAAACTAAGTTATTCTTCTGGTCATTGCTTTGAAATAGTTTCCTGTTGCTGGAGGCAGGCAAGGCATATTCTGGGGTGTCCATGTGCCATGGGGACTGTTTGCTCAGCCCCTTCTCCAGGTGCGGGGCTTTTCCCAAGCTGCTTGGAGAACCAGGGAAAAGCCACAGCTCAGTGGCTGAGCCAGGACCAAGGGCTGGAGCCACATGTTCCATCCAGGCAGCCCCAGCAGGCACATCCATACAGAAGAGGCATTTGTGGCTGCTTTGCTGAGTTTTGCCCAGCTCTGAGTCCCTGGGCAGGGCTGAAGCTGCCCTGGATCACAGTGTGACACCTGAGCTGCTCCAGAGTCAAATGCTTTTCAAGTACCTGAACTTGGCTGGTTGTCCTTTGACTTTTTCTTTGCTGGGAACCAAGATTGAAATCATCATGGGGAAAAGGTTCCTTTTGCTGTTGTTTGTGTGTCCAGCTCTGTGAGTCAGTGCCAGCTGCAAGACAGGAGCAGGCCTCTAATTTCCACTAATAAGAAATCCCTCCTACCCTCTCTTTCTGGACAGAAAATTCTGTCTTAAATTCCCTTAAAACAAAGACCTAATTCTGCTCTTACTGCCTGCAGTTTCAATTCTGCCTCAAAATTGCCATAGAGAGGGCAAAGCTGGATGGTGCCATTAAAAAGAAAATAACTACTCCACAGTATTAAAGACTGGAACAAACTGCAGGAACACTTTATGAGTGCCCAGGTCTGCTCAGAAGAGATGCCAAGTCCCATCTCAGCAGGGCAGGGGGGGTTGGATCAATACCAACAAACAGGCCACATCTCCACTGTGATTTTAGAGCTCAGATGCTCTCCCACAGCTGCCTTTGCTGGTTTGCTCCTGTCACATCCCTGACTTGTGTCAGTCCTTGGGTCCTGTGCAGGGAGCAGCATTCCCAATGACATTATGGTTGGGTTAGCCCTGTCTTGGAGGAGAAAAGCCATGAAAACATAAGGTCCACGTGGAAAGGCCTTGGGTGCTGAGTTGAAGAGCATCCCAGGGAGGTGGAGCTCAGCCAGGAATCTTGCCAACATCAGGGAGACTCAAAAGTGCAAATTGTAATGCACCATAACACAGAGTCACCACACTAATAAATAGGAGCATGAAACCCTTGGCTCTCTGCATGGACCTGGGATGCTGTCAGCATTCTCAACAAGCAAGGGCCTGCAAATGTGAGGCCTGCTCCTCCTGATTGCTTGGGTTAAGCTCTGGTTTGCAGTGCATCATTTAAGAGGTTGTAAATATTTTCCGTGTGTTGAAATAAAATTATAAGCAGATTGAGCCCGGGTACAGTGGATCCACTGGACTAAATCAGACTAAGAAAAGCCTTCAATTAAAGAATGAGGCTTAAGGGGGGCAGGGAGTGAGCTGGGATGGAGGGAGATTCTGTCAATTTAGTGAAAAATATTTTGTGGAAATATACTCTCTGCAGAAACCAAAGGAGAGTTTCCTCATGCAGGAAAGCACGTGATGTAAATTGGTATCTACTAAAGCAGTCATTGCTTGAGTGTAACAAAAGTAATTGTATGAACCTGCAAAACAGCACACACTGCATTTTCATGGGGAAATATGCTGTATTCTGGGATATTAATTACTGTGTGGGCTCAATTTTCAGTGCAATCAATCCACAGGAAACAAAGGGACTGCAAGGGAAATATAAAAAGACAGTCAGCTAATAGGAGCCATATTCAATAAAATTGTATCTGCCTTCAGTGAACAGTGAGAGTGAGGTGAGTCTGTTCTCCCTTGGCAGGGCACAGGATGGGCTGGGCCAAGAGGGGCTTGGAGCAACACTCTGTGTATTTGCACATATGTATGTATAAATATGTATATGTGAGAAATACAACCCCTGTTTTGAGAAACTAGGAAAGAATTAGTGATTTAATTCAGGCTGCTGGTGGACTTCAGACCCTGGGTGAACTTCACCTTTTCTGCAGCTTCAGTATAGTGCCAGTATGTCAGTAAGTTGTTTGTTCTGTTTGCCTAGCACTTAATAGAAGGATTATCTGGTTTCTTTCTTTCAAGGTTTCCAGGGTTGCTTTTCATTTTCAAAGCTGAATATGTTCATTTTTAGTGGTAGCATTCTCTCCCATTCAGGCTCCAAACTTCCCTAGGAAGTGACTTCATGTTATTATTCCAGCAGATTATTGCCTGGAGTGGCTGAATTACCTAGTGTTTGTGTAATGGCAAGCTCTCAGTCCATATGCATTTAATGACTGTAATCATTTGTTATTTTCCCTTTATTAGGTTTGTTTTTAAAGAAAGTTTTACTGTGCTATTTATGATATGCTAAGTGGTGCAACTTGCTGAAGAAACATTTTGCATACATTTTATTTTTTAATAGGTTTTGCTTGCTAAAATGGAAATCTTTTATTTACCCTAGTAGGGCAGTTTTTTGCTGACAGTTTTATTATTTCAATTACTCAAACATTTCTTTCCTCTTTTGTTTCCTCCGATACTCCTCCAGGGAGTTTTAATGTGCCATTCTTTATTTAAAATTGGGTTCAGAATGTGTTATTTCTAGCAAGGCAGGGGAAAAGTGCAGTACAGCAGACATTAAATAGTGGGATGTCAAGGTTTTATTTTCTTTCCTCTCTGAGTTGTGGGATCCTTTCCTCATTTGTGTCATCTGGTGATGAATTGCACTGATAATCTGTGTTCCTCATCAATAACTGTCTCCTACCAGTGCCAGGCAGAGGCTGTGCTCTGCCTAAAGAGCTTGTGGCTGCAGATAAATGGGTATGCATGTGTGAGTAAAGGAGGGGACCTCTGAGAGCATTTAAAATTGTCAGAGGTGCAGGCTACTTTAATAAAATAATGTTCTATAGGTAGTGGCAGCAACTCCTGAATGCATTTCACTCGCTAGTGGGGAAAGAATGGGAGCATTCCTCCAGGGTAACCCCAAGCCTTGATCAGTGGAGTGAAAAATGAACCCCAAGGGATCATAAAAGGGGGGAGCTTTACAGCCTGAGCAGGCCAGCACCAGCAGAGGGAACTGCCTATGCAAAGTTCTCTGGGGTGGGACAGCAGGGAAAGCAGGGTCTGCTCCCCTGGCTCTTGCTGGGGTGTGTCTGTGATTCCTTCTGCAAGTGCTAGAGAGTCTTTGACCACTCCCTGATGTGTGATGCGTTTTCCATTATAGCCTGGCCAGTCCTTGGAGAAAATCAAACTCAATTCATAGAACCATAGAATAAGCTGAGTTGGAAGGGGACCCATCAGGACCACTGAGTCCAGCTGGCCCCGCACAGAACATCCTAATCACACTCTGTGCCTGAGAGCATTGTCTGAATGACTTTGAACTCTGTCAGGCTCAGGGCTGTGACCACTTCCCTGGGGATCCTGTTCTACTCTATGGATGAAGAACCTTTTTCTGATATGCAACTTAAACCTCTCCTGACTCAGCTTCAGGCCATTCCCTCGTGTCCTGACACTGGGCACCAGAGAAGTGACCAGTGCCTGTCCCTGCACTGCCCCTCATGAAGATGTGGAAGAGCACAATGAAGTCTCCCCTTCGGGCTGACCACACCAAGTGACCTCAGCCCCTACACATAAAACTTCCCTTCCAGAAGTTTTCCCCATCCTCGTGGCCCTCCTTGGGATGGTGGGGGAGCCCCAGAGCCACAGGCAGATCTCTCTGCCTGCCTGTGTCGAGTGCATGGCCTTGACCATCTTTTAATGATGCTTCTGCATCATTACAAAGGGCATTACAAAGCACATCCTCACTCTTGTGCTTCCCGTTGTGTTTTCCAGAGTGTCTGGGGGAGAGCTCTTTGACCGCATTGTGGAGAAGGGCTTCTACACGGAGAAGGACGCCAGCACGCTGATCCGGCAGGTCCTGGACGCTGTCTACTACCTGCACCGCATGGGCATCGTGCACAGGGACCTCAAGGTACAGCCACAGCACCTCTCTGGCCCCTGGGCAGTGTCAGTGAAGGCTGTGCAGTTGTGTGAGCCTAACAAACACATGAAGTTTGTTCATTGTGAAGAGCAAACAATGAAGGCTGTGTAATTGTGTGTGCCCCGGGACTTGCTGTTCCAGTAAGGCTGTACCACAGGAGAGATGCTTCAAAGCCTCCTGGAAACCTCCCTCCCCTGAGGGGGAGACCCCTAAAAAGTTCTGTGCCAGTATGGAGAGACTGTTGGGAAGGATGAAAGTTTGACAAGAAAGTCTCACAGATGTGTGTGCTTAGCAGAAAGATTTTTAAATGTAGAGTCTGATGAAGGAAGAGAGATGGAAGCAAGTTTTGATATAGAAGAAAAGAATTGCTGAGCCAGTCATACTAGATAACCAATGCGGCAAAGGGTATGTTAGTTAGAAGGGGTTTTTATGACTTTGAACAAAGGATAAAGCCACCCCAAAGATGTTTTTACCAAACAGAAAGATAGCAAAGGCAAACAAGTCAGCAAAGTTGCAAGTAGAAAAAGGTCTCAGAATTTTCCACTGCAAGAAAACTGAAAAACAACTTTTAGCTTAAACTATAATGCACTAACTTTTAGTGATTGGAGAACAGTCACATGAATAGGGTAATTACAGTAGTTATGACAGGCTATAGATAATAGCTAAGGTACAGATTGGTTCTACTGTATGAAGATGCTCAGCAAAGGATATAATTCATTGTAACCAAAACCAAAGGGTCTCCAGGCCTGCCTGCAGCTGGAACTGACAGCTGTAGGCACAGGCTCTGTCACCCATGACCCTGGACTGCTGTAACATCTTGGATGGAATAAACTGCATTTTGGAGAGCCCCTGGAGTCCCACATCCCTCATTTCAGCTCTTACAAAGAGACGAACGGGACTTTTGTGTTTTTCGGTCTTCAGGCTGCTGTTTATTTTTCTCTTATCAGAAGTTCAGCACGCCATCTACATATCAGATGTAGCGTACAAAGAAAAGGCACCAGAAGTCACAAGACACACAGGTTCAAGGTCTTTTAAATCTATTTTGTCCAATTAACTATTAAAACCTATTTTATTTCTACCTTTCTACCAATAACTAATTATTTGTCTGTTCCCGCAACATCTGAATTTTGGTTCTTTCTCACCAAACACTCTGTGCCACCAATGCTGCAGAAAATGGAGTAGATTAAGAACAAGAAGGAGATCAGACAATGCCCAAAAATCCTCCATCTTGTCTTCTATCTACCTCCATACTAAAACCCCAAAACTCTTGAGTTTTTCACCCTGTGATAAACTACACTACTATTTCACACACTCATAGATTCCAATTCATCTCAAAATCTTGGAAGCTTTCTTCATGGATGAAGGTTAAAAGCATAGCTCTCCTGGGGACCAGGACTTCTCAGGACAGGCAGAGAAATATTCCCTGTGCCCTGGGTTCCAATGCCCATGGAATTGGTTTTAATGAGGACTCTGCAGTCAGGGCAGTTACAGTGGGAGGTTTGCGTGTTTGATGTGAGGAAAAGCTATTGAGACCCAAAATGTTACATTAAGGCAGAAACCCCATTATTGTATTTGCAGGGAATGCCCCAATGAAGGCAGGAATGATGCATCTGACCCCATGTTCTCAGAAGGCTAATTTATTACTTTACAATACTATATTATATTAAAGAATACTATACTTTACTAAAGAATACAGAAAGGATACTTATTGAATGTTAAAAAGATAATAATGAAAACTCCTGACTCTTTCCAGAGCCCCGACACAGCTTGGCCTGATTGGCCAATGAGTGAAAACAACTCACAGCAGAATCCAATGAAACAATCACCTGTGGGGAAACAATCTCCAAACACATTCCACATGAGCACAGCACAGGAGAAGCAAATGAGATAAGGATTGTTTTCCTTTTCTCTGAGGCTTCTCAGCTTCTCAGGAGAGAAATCCTGGGTGAAGGGATTTTTTCAGAGAATGTGAATGGCACACCCCATTTCAGCTGAGGTGTGTTCAGTGCTAGAAAGAATTTTGCAGGTTTGCTGTGCTAGATTTACATTTACTTAATAATAACTGGTAATGATAGTGGGGAAAAGTTGAGAGATTTCCTATCACTTGGAGCAGTGTTTTGGCTAACAGCAAGGGTTCTTCTAAGGACCATTGAGTGCCAATGTGATATTTAGATTATTTTCCTTTCAGCTGCACCATATTGTCACATCTAAACCTCTCAGCTTTTCAGGTATAAAAACTCCCTAAATGTTGTTGTTTTATTGTTTTCTTCCAGTATCTTTAGTGCCATTAAGACAAGCAGAAAGGCTTGGATTTGATGGCACTTTAATGTTTTAAGAAATAAGTTAGCAGAAGATACTAGAAAAATACACGAATTTCAAAAGAAAACTGTGGGTTCAGCTCCTGAGCTGGTTAATTCTGCCAAAGTTCACTGCCAGAAATGAAGACTTCAGTGATGGAAATAACATCTCTGGCTGTATTTTGGAGGGATGCTCCAAACAGGAGTTTCCTTGGATGTTGAGGCAGAGCTTGTATTTTCCCTCTGTGAAGAGAGTAGAATTTGGCTACATGTTATGAGCCTTATATAAGCCTTATAAAAAGGTTTAATGAACACTAATAGAGTCAAAAGGCTCTGCAGTGCAGTCCAGACAGTCCCAAATAATGGGTTTCCTGTAAGGAGGCACTGGTTAGGCTTCCATCTCCCGCAGTCTCCACATTTTGCTCTCAGCTCCTGTTCATTTCCTGCCCTTATGCTGAAGTACATAGAAACATTCTTATATTTGTAAGAGCTCCAAAGAATTCCAGTATGGAAGTGCTGTATTGTAACATGACCATCTTGCTCCCAAATTCAACTTTTAGGTAACAACTTCAGGCTTCTTTCTGCCACCAGCATTTCTTGGAGTGAGGTCCAAGACCTCGTAATTCAGATATTCCATTGTACAAGGTCTTGTTATTCTTGTATTTATAATCTAAAGCAGGTTATACCTCTCATTTTAAAAAATAATCTTATTTTAAAGTTCCTGTAATAAAATATGAGGTCTAGTGATTTGGGAATTAAATTCATGTACAGATTACTTTCAGAGTTTATGTAAGGCCAAGCTGAATTTAGATCAACCTTCTCCAGTGGTATTTGGTAGCTAAGAGTAGCTCTTTTTCTCTTTCTCTCTTTTGTTTGCAGATTTTTGTCAATATCATGTCAATTGTCAAAATGACTCATAAAATGCAGTATATGAGGAACACCTGCTGTGAATTTCTGTTAGCAAAAACATACCATGATGAGAAAAACAGGGATATAATAAGACATTTATGATTTCAAAATATCAAAATGAATGTAAGGTTCAAAATGAAACTCTGGGAAAGAATCCACTCTACAAAAACACAACCCATTAAACATCCATAACGATTATTTATTGTAATTATGTGTTTACTCAGATACCAAAATAGGACTTGCTGCAGTTGGTAAAAGCAGGTCTGGGCTCCAAGTCTCAGATTAATCTAAGTAATGTAAGAGCAGATTAGAAGAGATGGCAACAGGTGATGTCTGGGGGAACTCCAGGATGCACAAAAGGAGTGAAAAGATCAAGCAGCTTCAGTTGGTACAGAGCCATATTGTTAAGGCTTTTTGAATTAACCAGCTTGAGAAAACAGAATTTTTTTTAACAAGTTTGACTTTTAAATGTAAGGGTTTGTTGGCCTTAATAAATGTGAGTATGTGGGAACCTGAAGTGAGTTATTAGAAATTGTTAGGAAATAACTGCTTTTCCCTTAATTCCATGTCTACCACCCCCTCAGCAGATCACAAGAGCTGTAGTAAAAATTAGGAGTGACTCCAGCCTAGGGCAGAGCATGGCAAGAAACTGTAGTCCCTAACAGAGTGTCAACACTATAGAGTCCAATTAAAGCACTGGACTTGCAAGTTATGATGAGAAAGGACTGTAAATGGTACAACTGCATATTTATTTTTAGGAGCCAAATAACTTCCCTTTTCACCTCAGCCCTGCTGGCCCACAGCTGTGGTTGTGCTTGCAAATCCTCTCACGGCCATTTTTTGCCATGTTTCCATCTGTCCATGGATGAAGCCATCACTTGATGCTGGAGTTGGGAATGGCTTTAACCTCCTGAATGGGGACATCACCTCCAGCACCCCTTCATCCCCCCCTTCCCCAGGGCAGATGGAGAAGGGAATGTGGATTCTGGTGCTGCTAAACTGCAGTTTCTCCTCCTCACAAATCCAAGCTTGGCTGTGTCCCAGGGAGTCTGAGGATGTTGTGTGGCCACAGCTGCTCCTCACCATTCCCTGGAGCACACAGCAGGCTGGGTGTCAGCATTTGTGCCAGCTTTGGGTAAAAGACTCCACTGAGGCTATTTAGAAACATTGGGTACCTGTAGGGGAATAGAATATAAGAAAATAAAGATAGTGTAGAAAGTAATTTTACCCCTAAGGAGTTGCAGCTGGCCCAATTATCAAAGATTAGGAGCAGGCCTGACTTTACCAGGCCACAGCTGTAAGCAATGAGAAGAAGAGTGCTATAAAAGAGTGGGGTGGCTGGGTGAGAGGGGAGCTGGAGTTTGTTGGCTGCTTTGTGAAGAAGAAAGAGTCAGTGTTCTGAGGAGATGACCATGAGAAACACCGAGAGGATATGAAACCTTTGTGATAAGGAGACAGCAGAATGGAACCCCTGGAATAAGATGATAACAGGTACCCATCGCTTTTACAGCTGAAGACCCAAAAGTTCAAAGCCCATGGCCTCCAGGCTGAGTGCTGCAGGTGTGGACCCTTTCCTAAACAAGGGAGGAGGTGGGCTCTCACAGCACCCAGCCAGAGCTTTGCTGTGTAGCAGCAGCACACTCAGAACACGCAAATGCAGGGCTGGCTGGAGCTGATGGAGGCTGCTTGGGCTCTCCAAGCTGCCTGACTCTGGTATAAAAAGTCACAGGGCTTTCTGGAGTGATCCTTGTTTTCTCTTGCCATAAACAAGTTGCTGTGCTTAGAGCTATAGCACATTTTTCCTTCAGCGTTTTTTCCTAATCAGCTCTAGCTGAAATATCCTTGCTTCAAGTCTGTTAACTGTAAAGGCATTTCCTCTCTCAAAACAGTTTGTTTCTAGTGGAGAAGATTAAAAAAAATCTCTAATGCCTCCTGTTTTCCTTTTTCTTTTTTCAAATACTGTATAAAACTTTTTAGTACACTACCTGGATTTGCCATATTTACTTGCTTTTAAACAAATCCTTCTGTTTCACCACTCTGAAGTGAAAATGCATCAGACATATCTCACAAGTAAAGGATGAGCCTTAGGTCTTATTTGAGGTGCCAGAGGAGAAGTTTGTTGGCCCAGAAAAGTTGCTCAAAGCTCAGGGTGTCAGGGTCTCCCATTTGTTGCCATGCAGGAATCTGGAGAGGATCTCCATGTAGGTTTTAAGAACAACTCTTAAGAATTAGGGCAACCAAATTATGTTTGTATATGATGTGACTAGGGATTGTATTAAATGTATGCAAGGGTCACCAGGTGTTGTTACTGAACTCACATATTCAAAACTCTTTTTGCTTATTCTCCTTTCTAGCCTGAAAACCTGCTTTACTACAGCCAGGATGAGGAGTCAAAAATCATGATCAGTGACTTTGGCTTGTCGAAGATGGAGGGTAAAGGAGATGTGATGTCCACAGCCTGTGGCACTCCTGGCTATGTTGGTAAGAGGTTTGCTTATATTTTAGTGAAATTGAAATAATTCTCATTTTCTGGTGCTGGTACATGTGAGATTTTACAGATATTTGTTAGAATTTAGTATTTGCCTGTGCTGTGTCTTGTGTGCCCTTCCTCTTTAGGGCACAATTCTGTAATCCAGCTCTAGGTTTGTGGGATTCACTTTCATGTTTTCAGTCCTTTGTGGAATGAGCATTCTCAAAGATCCTGCTTTAGCTTCACCAGGATCTTGTGAAGAATAGCCTCAAATGTACTGCTCTGCAAGCGCCTAGGAAACCAAGAAACTTTACCTAATGAAATGCGTTATTTTAATCATAAAGAATAGCGTTTGCCAGATTCCTCTGGTAGGAGACAGTAAAATCAAAGAGCTGCATTTATTCAGATCTGTTCAGTAATCCTCTGTTACAATCATGTTAAGTTACTGACTCAGATGTTAAAATGCGAAAGCTCTTTAGATCCTTCCTGGACAGTGTCAAATTGTTTTCTGTCATTTATTCTTTGCTCTTCTGTCCATTTGGTAGTGATTGTACAAGGCTACCTATTAGCAGCATGTTTACCAGCAGCCTCTGAAAACAGTTTAAGTAGCTGAAAGTGAGCATTAGAGGGCAGGTGGTGATGAGGTCTGTTTGAGCAAACACATTTAAAAGCTCCCTTTGTGTACAAGACATCCAGCAAGCCTGTGCCTCCTGCTGCACCAGGATCATCAGCTGAGGTGGGGAAATTAAACTCTGGGGTATCCATGAAATCCATGAAACTGTGGATAGATTTCTTTCAGATCTTTCCAGCAGGAGAGACTGGATGCTTTCCAGCTGCAGAAGCTCTTTTTACTTTGCAGCTGCCACCTCACCTCTTTTCATAGCTCTGATGATATCAACAGCTCAGATGAGGTGCTTATGACACAGCAATACAGATTTGTCACAGGTACTTTTTATGGGCATTATCTTCACACTGTGCAGACACACTCTATCCCAATAAAATCAGGAAAAGGAACAGATTTCTGTGCTTTTCCCATCAATGTTTTATTTTAAGACATGGGCCAGGATGCAGTCTGAGTAGCAGTCTTGTGTAATCACACCAGAGTAGAAATCTTCTTCCAGAGCAGTGGCAGGAATTGAGCTGAGACAGCAATTTTCATAACTTTTGCTGTCAGCTCTTCTGTCCCTATAAAACATGTTCTATTTTGCTCTGGAATGGGCACTGACTAGAATGAGTCTCAAGGCACAGGAAAGCTGACATGATGTTTGCTGAAGTGCTGGTGAAAATGAGGGAGTGACTCGGCTTGGTCTCCGAGTGATCTCATGCAGCCTCTCATCATAGCAAGTTTGCTCATGTAAATAGCAATTTTGGAGAGGAAGCCCTTGGAGCCTGTGACAGGAGCTGTAGTGCTTTGAAAGATGTTTGAGAGCTCTCATTACCCATGGTCTGGCCTCTGAAGGCTGTACAAGCGCCCCCAGGCTTGTTGTTACCTTGCTGAAGACAGGATTTACTCATCCTGGTTCAAGAGGTCATGGCCACTTATTTCTGAAGTGCTGACAGAACTTTTCCCAAAGAAAACAGCTTTAAATATTTGCTCTTTTTCTTTTTTTTCTTTTTTTTTTTTTTTTTGCACAGGATGCATCTCCTCTTTAGTGCTGGTTTTTTTTTTAAACATAATAGGTTGCTCAGACATTTTCCAAGTTCAGAAGGTTTTTGTTGCTGGTCACTGTGGTGATGCCCACAAATGGTCCTCCTTGAGTGTTACACCTGATGTTGTGGCTTCTACATAGGTGCTCTGCAACTTGCCCACATCCAAAAGCTTTCATGTCCTCACCCTCAGTGTCAGTCCAGCTTGCAGCACCTGCCAAGAGCCCTCAAATCAATGGAAGAGTCATTCCTCCCAGTGGCACAGCATGGATAAAACTCCTCAGCCTGGCTGGGGCAGACAAATGCCACAGCCCCAGCCCATCAAGTGCCCTGTCTGCCACCTCCTTTTGTGTTTTGCCTTTTCTTTCCACTTATTTTACCTTAGGTTAAGTAACACTCAGAGATCCATCACTTAAAACAAATTTCCTGGTGCTTTTCTTCAGAGATAGGCAGAACACCCTAAGATTTTCTAAGATCTTACCAGAGCTGATTATTTTTATCAGTTTAACCACTTTGCTTTTAAATAGCTGGAAGATGTTTAGGCACATATCCCATGTCAGAGGCACCCAGGGCTCTGTTAAGAAGTCATTGGCATCTGCTACAATTTATACTTCATCTCCAGAAGTGGATCCAGTCAGATTCCACTTTGCAAAGTGCTGGACAAGCTTCTGACTCAGAAGCAAATCTGATCTTAACTCATGTCTGCTGCCCAAGTATGTGCAAGTATGCAAGCCCCTTGTAATTTCTGTCTAATTTCCTTGATCAGGATATACTTTCAACTCCTTGTGCTTCATTTTTTATCTCAACTTTTCTTATTTTCATCTGCAAAGAGCAGTAGTATCTATGACATTAAATGCCTGTTTATGTGGTCTGGAAATGTATTGAATAAGGAAGGGTGTAATTATAATTAAATCCCTTAACAAATATCAGTTTTCTTTCTGAAAATCAAAATATCACTTTTCAAATTGGACTCTATCTGAAATGTGCATGGCCAATGGGGCATTAGGACTTCAACTTTTAAAGCTCAGCCTTGCAGATTAAATTACTGTCAAGAGTTCTGAGTTCTTATTTTTTCAGGAGTTTTGTCAGAGATTTTGGCCCTGTGATGAAAAGCTGATGTTTAAGATAATTTAACCCAATTATCTGAGCCACTTTTGTTAAGAGGCCAATCTAAATGTTTGCTTACTGAAAAGGGGATCTGACAATACAGCCTCTTCTAAGAAGGTCTTGCATTTTCTTATTGCTTACCATTCTTATCCCCATTTCTTATGGAAAGAGTCTGGGATTCTTTCTGATGAGCTGGGACTAGACTGATGAACTGAGTAGTCTGATGAGCTGGGACTAGACACCCAACTTCTAGATAGCAGCTGAATTGGGAAAGGTGAGGCAAGGTGAGCCTTGTGTGGCTCATTTCACCCCAAATGAGGCGTGAGGAGTGACCTGCTTGGGTCTGAACGGTGAAAAATGCCAATCACTTGTTTTTAAAATTTTAAAAGTTTAAAAGTCATAAAATGGTTATAAAAAATAGGAATACAATTAGAGTAATAATAATTTGGAGAATTTGAATTAGGACAATATGAGACAATAAAGACAAAGAGTTACGAATGTCCAGGTACCTTTTCTGGGCAAAATAAGCCCAAAAAAGGACCCGCATTAACAAAGGATTAACCCTTAAAAACAACAGCCTGTTGCATATTCATACACCTCATATGTGATGCATAAATTCCATTCAAACACAGGATTCTGTCTGGTCATTGTCAGCTTCTTCCTCTGAATCCTAACAGTGCCTTTGAGGCAGGAACAAGTTCATTTATTCTGATAAGAGAGCAATAAATTCTTTTTCTCTGAAAGATTCAGGTGTCCTGTGGCTGCTATCTCGCTGCAAGTCCTGTCTTTAAAAAAAGTATCCTACATAGCATCGTTTCTATTTTAACATTTTGTCATAACCTAAAACTATATTTAACACACTACTGAAGATAATTAATACAGCATTACTTTCTAACACAACACATATAATATTCATTTTAATACTTGGGAAAAGCCAATCATAAAATATGCATTTTTCACATGAACCCATTGTCCAATGTGGAAAAGAAGTGGTGTTTTCAAAACCCTGAGTGATGTGTGTGATTATGGGCAAGATCCCAAGAAGCCATTAGTGATTTATAATTTTAAACATCATAGATTTGGGCTGTTCAGCTCTTGGCCTTACATAATAACTCAGTTTTGGGATAGGAGCTGTTCAAACCTGCCTGAGAATGAGCTATCCCTGAGGTGTGTCCAGCTGGGCACCCACCAGGAGGTGACTCCAGTCACTCAGCAAATTCTTCTGAAAAGATTTTGGATGTTTGGGAATTGGGTCTCACTGAGTGACTTTCCATGAGAAATAGTCCCTCAAAAGCTTTGGTTATTTCTGCAGATGGAACTTAGATCTCAAGACACTTGAAAAGTTATTAAAAAATGTTAGAAAGCCTGTCTGAGGCAATCTGCTCTCGTTTTGCAGAAACACTGAATTATGAGCTGTGTTTGTGGCTGACTAATATGTTAATCCTACTGAGATTTAAAATTCTTGCTCCGAGTCCCAATCCTCTTCAAGTAAAATTTTCTTGTACTGCCTTGCCATCCAAATTTGGCTGGATTCTGGATGTGTGGCTGGTCCTGGTATACTCCACCTCACTCTCTATTTTCATTTTCTGTAGTCCTTTTATCAAAGGTCATTTCACAGCTTTCATCTCTGCTCTGCCATAAATCCAGCAGTCTCAGACCTCACCAAAGCCACCTGTTCCTCTCAGCCCTGTGCAAGACCACAGCATTTAAGTAAGGAATAGATTTCCATGTTGAATTTTAATCTATTTGGTATCCTTTGAATCAAAGGCTGGAAAATATTCAATAAGCCCTCAGAATATCCTTATTAGCCATAAACTACTTCAGGTGCCTTTAGGCAGTACCATGAGTAATAAAGTAAAAATAAAGCATGGGAATCACTCTGAACAGGGTTTGTTCAGGCAGAAGCACCTGACAGGGCAATTTCTCAGCTCTGTTGCCAAATCCTGACACAAAGACTTGTGTTACCCTCTGCTGAGCATAAACTGCATTATTACCCATGGCAGATATCTAAATCTGACTCAGCAATGTGAAATAAGAATGACAGGAGCACAGAAAGTCAGCAATACTGCACTGAAACCCTGCTCTCCTTCAGAAAAAGCCTCAAACTTCACGGCCTTGGCTGACCAGAACAAGATGAACACTGGAGGAATGTGTGAAAAAATGAAATAAGTTGTTTTCACCCCAGGATTCAGTGGAAGGACTCTGGTCTTGTGGTGAAGCTGCTTCATGTGCACCTCAGCCTGTTTGCACTGTGAGGAGGGTACTTTGCAGGTTTTTGACTTCAGGAGAGGGGCTGGGTTGGCCCTTTGTGTGAAGAACAGGCTCCCTCATGACTTGTGCAGTGTGAGCAACAGGCTTAAAGTATCAGAGCAATCCCCATGACCTGAGCTCTTTGCAGGAACATGGATTGCAGTTTTTGGCATCCAGCAGCTGCATTTTTAGGGGGTTTATTAGCATAGCTGTGCTCTCTGAGGGTAATGGCATAGTGTTCTGAAAGGGCTCCATATGTTCTGGTCTGCACCTTTTCTTAAAACCTCCATTTGAAACAAGACTTAGAATTTTTTCTCTTATTAAAAGCAAAATATAACTCAACCAAAAAGAAGCTAACTGTAAGAGAGCAGGGGAAGCACATCTTCGTGTACCTGAAGGTGGAATGAGCCTCCCCCTTGTACCTGGCACTGTGGCAATGCTGATTCAGCCCGAAACACCTTCCTGGATGTGGAGGAAAGGCCCAGGTTTGCTCCATTGGGTGTGACTGTGGCCCCAGCTCTCTTCACAGAGAGCAGCAGGCACAATTCCCCAAGGATTTTTCCTGGGAAGGCAGTGAGAAGCACAGAGAGGAGAGGAGAAAACAATTCTTATCGCTATTCAGTGCTCCTGTTGTTTTGCACCTGTGGAATGTGTTTACCCAAAGTGATTTGTCAATTGGATTCTGCTGAGGGTTGTTTTGTTTCCTTGGCCAGTTGGGTCCAAGCTGTGTCCTGACTGTCTGAGACAGTCATGGGTTTTTCTTTAGTATCTTTTGTATAGTATAGTTATAGTATAGTATTAATGGAATATAGTATTATATATAGTATATATAATACTATATTACAAAATATATATATAATATTTCTATATATAAAATAAATATTTATATATTTTATATATTTAATATTTATATATATTTATATATTATATGTTATTATTATATGTATTATATATTACATATTATATGTATATATTTATACATATTATATGTCTTCTATATGATATTTTGTTATTATATATTTTATTGTTATATATTTTTATTTATATAATATATATTTTTATATATTTTAATATATTGTATTATATATTATGTATTGTATTTCGTGTTAATAAAGCAATTGTTCAGCATTCTGAGTCATGGAATCAGAGCACATTATTCCCAGCACTGGGGGCTCCCTGCATACCATAGGTGGCCAGTGTTTATGGTTTGCGCCCAGAGTGATTCCCTGGGGAGATGTGACAGTGGAAGCCATTGCTCAGCTGGCATCTCCCCAGCTCCAGAAATGGGAGATTTGGCTTCCCCCTTCTTCTTTCTGCTGTTTTGTCTCCCCAGTCGTCTGTGTTGATCCTTCAGTGCTGTCAGCTCCTGGATTTTCTTCGTTGTGTCTCCTGCTTTTGCCTCTTGGCACTGATCTGCCTTCATTCCTGAGAGCTTCCCTGACTTGTTTTTCAGCTCATTAAATATTTCCGTTTTTCTGTACATCAGAGACAGATGATGCTGAGCTGTGTCCTCCTGTTCCTCTCTGCTTATTGGAACAAAAATCAAAAGCAGCCATTTGGCCTTAAAAGAAGTATTTAAACCTCCTACCTTTCTTTGTTAATGCTTACCCTGTGTTGTTGTTACCTCTTTCAGAGCTGCCATCCAGAGGCAGCAGCTATAAGTGCTCTTCACTCCTTCAAAACAGAGAGAAATGCCCCAGCACAGCTTTGATGTGTTAAGAGGGAAAATCTTTATATAGTTCACATCCCCTCATCTCAGAATTGTTTTCTGTTATGTTAATGTGGCATATCTGTATAATGTCAGGAGCTCACTGGTGCTCAGCAGCAATTTGCATAATATTTTCTTTAGGAGCTATGAAATGTGTAATGTTTACCAATCTTGAAAGTTATGTAAACAGGCACAGACAGTCAAAGGCAGAAGAGAATGTGAATAAAATACTGGGAATTTGGAAGGACTGGAGAGTTGGGAGACATCTAAGCACATACAGACAGGAGAACATTAACTCCCTTTGTTCTCATATTTTGTCACAAAATTTGATTACAAGAGATGGAACAAAACAGGAAACTCTCATTTCATATGTAGTGGTCCCAGTTTACAGTTCACATTCAGTGGTCCCAATTTGCTGAATCACTTGAAAATTGGAGAAGTATTTAACCTGTGCTGCAGTCTGGGACAAATCCCAATCTTCAAGAGTCTTCATAATGTGGTTGGCACTTATAATTTTACCCACATTCCCCTGAATTTTCTTCAGTTCTGGAACGTGTCCCTGGTGAAATATAACCCATTTCCATCATTGTTCTGCTTGTGGAAATGCAGATGCCCTCACCTGCCTTGTGCCCTCTCTTCCTCCAGTCCCCCCTATGAGCCCTCATGCCACAGCATTGGAAAGTCTTTTTTTATTCTCATTATCTCTTCTTTTGGTTGGCTTGTCTGGATTAAGAAGATAAGACTTTAAAGAGCCCTACCAGTACAGCAGAGGATAGATAGCTACTAAAAGTGAGGTTCAAGCTTTAATATATCTCTGTGTTTCACAATTTGTTTTTTGCTCTTCTTCAAGTAACTAAGTGCTTTGGAGCTGGTGAGACTCCCAGCAGAGGAAGGTGTGACTCCCAAGAAATATTTTTCTTGGGATTTGTCACTTCATTACTTTTTTCCAGCATTTGAGCTCCAAATTACTCAAAGGAAATACTGTACTTTTTAAAACCCAGTATGGCAAGTCTGCTTTAGGAATACCACAATTAGTGATTTCTTGCATTATTGTTCACGTTTTGCTTTGAAAAAGGCAAAAGCTTCTTTACATGAAAAAGATTAGGGTCACAGGGGTTTAAAATTTAGATTTAAGCATTTGCACTGCAAGGTCTCAACAGGGACCCAAACAAAAAATACACCTTTTTAAGTCTTTTTAAGTAGTATAAGATAGTAAAGCAGATCCACAAGGAGTTTAAATAAATTCCCAGGCCCTTGCTTCTAGCAAAATTAAGGCTATGATGGTTGTATAGAGGGAGGAGGCTCAATTCCTTTGTGCACATGTCCAATTCCTGCAGCTTTTCATTTCTCCCTCTGAGGTGTCTGTGTTCCCAGAGGCAGAAGGACAAATGGCTCCCTCTGACTCTGACATCCAGCAGGCTTTGGGAGGCAGCTGCTGCAAGAAGTGGTGGGTGCTCTCCTTCCTCTCCTGCAGATGTAGTTTATCTCCTCTGTGACTCTCTGCCCTTTCTGAGCTGCCTCTGGAGCTGCCCTCTCTGGCAGAGCAGAGCTGTGATGCTGTCAGGGAGAATCTGCATCTCTGCACCCGTGCAAAGCTCGGCCTCATTTCCCTCCTAAACAGGGAGGTGATGGCCCTCTGCCTCTCACACATTTTTCTGTGCTTTGTTTTGTTTTCTGTGCCTGGAGACAAAAAAAAAAAAAAAAAAAAAAAAGTGAATTTGCTCTACTTTCAGAGTCATCCTTTCTTGTGAGGATATGACCTTCAAAAACCTCAGGACACATTTGCAAACACAAGGGTGTGGTGGTGTTTGCAGGGGTCCCAGGACGAGGGGAGAGATGAGAATGTTGACTCCATGTTTCAGAAGGCTGATTTGTTATTTTATGATATATATTATGTTAAAAGAAAATGATATATTAAAACTATACTAAAAGAATAGATTTCATCAGAAGGCTAGCAAGGAATAGAAAGGAATGGGATGATAAAAGCTTGTGACTCTCAGAGAGTCCCAGCCAGCTGACTGTGATTGGCTGTTAATTAGAAACAACCAACATGGACCAATCACAGATACACCTGTTGCATTCCACAGCAGCAGATAATCATTGTTTTTCTTTTCCTCTGAGGCTTCTCAGGAGAAAAATCCTGGCAAAGGGATTTTTCAGAAAATATCAAGGCGATGCAAGGGTTATGTGTGGAGAGCAAAACAAGGTCTTGGGGGTCTCCAAGTCTCAGAGTCCTACCTTTTGACCATATTCAAATGTCTGGCCTTATAACACATGCTTGTTTGGCTTTTTTATTTTCAGCTCCTGAAGTGCTGGCGCAGAAGCCCTACAGCAAAGCCGTGGACTGCTGGTCCATCGGGGTCATTGCCTACATCCTGTGAGTACCTCTGGAGTGCCCAGTGCTGGCACCTGCAGCTTGCTGTCCCACCATGGGGTTACCTGCTCAGCCTGGGGCAAAGCAACTCACCCCTGACACTTGTGATGCAGGGTAGAATGTACCCTGGACACCTCCTCTTTGGTTTCTGTGCTTGAGATGACTTCTGAGGTATTAGAAAGTCTTTTATTCCCTTGCGACCAAAGAAAAAGTTGAGATTCATCAGTTTTGCTTTTTAAGGTTGTTTATTCTTTCTTATTTATTACATTCTTTCTCTGACCTGCTGAGATCTATCCAGGAGGTTGGGTTGTGGCACAGCACCTGCCCGTGGGGTGGTGTTGGCTTTTTATACTAAGAACTACGTGTATTTTATTTACAATAATTTTCCAATACTTATTACCTATGTTAGACAGTCTGTCTCTACTCTAAACCAATCCAAAAGTGTCACCATCACAGCAGAAGAGGGAGGACAAGAAGAACAGGACACGCCCAGATTTTTCTATTTTGCCTCTTGAACCCCATTCTAAAACCCAAAAATTCTACTTTTTCATCTTATGACAAATTAACTATCATTCTACTCAAACTCTTGTGGCTTGTAATTCTTCACACAAAGTTGGTAATTGTTTCCATGGACTGAAATTGAAGGTACAGGTGTTTTTGACTCTGTGCCAGGGTCTCGAATTACCCAGGGCAGCCGGAGGAATGTCCTGGGTCCTGACAACCTCCCAGCTGCATAAAGGCTGAAATTTGAGCAAAAGTGGTAGGAAATGAACTAGTACCCTTCAGCTGTCCAAATCCTTGCTCTCATCAGAACTACACTGTGTGCAGTAATGTGGGCTTGTCCAGGTTGTGACATTATTGAAGTTATTGTTGTTCCCTGCTCAGATTGGCTTTGAGAAGAAACTAATCTGGCTGTGTCCACTGAGCTGCCACAGAAACAAATGTCTTTTCCTGACAGCATTACCACTGCTTTATTTTTTTTTACTTTTCCCTTTTACACAACTGTCACAACTGTTATACAAGACTGAAGGAAAAAGCAGCTCCAATAAGGCACAGCATTAAAGCATTCCTACTTTGTTCCCTTTTTCCTTATGCAGACATTTCATGGCTTGTCAACATGAATAACTTTTTGATGGTGCTGTAGAACTATTTTTGCCAGGACATACCTCATTGCTGTGCTATCCTCTCTGTACAATGTTCATTCTTTACATTTGCTTTACATTTGCATAATTTATATGCTCCCCAAAACAAGGAGGTTTTATATTAAATAGTATAGGAAGGCAGCTTGGTTTATTGCACATGTGTTTATTTATTGAAACCAAAATCCTGTCTGAAAACATTAGTTTTATGACTGTCTATTTTGAAAACTTGTTGAGTACAAAACTTGCATGGGAATGGATTTCTCTTGGAGCAGCCATCAATAGCAGGATGCAAAAAGCTTTTGCTAAACAAAGCAAAAAATCAACAGTGCTTTGACTTTGGTTCAAAGCCCACTGGGACCTACTACAGCAGTGAGGAAGAGCACAGACAAGCCAAAATACCTTGAAGACTGCTTCACAAACCATTCCTTAGTGCTCTTTTAGATGAGGATGGTGTGTGCTGACTCAAATTTACCTTTTTTCACAAGCAAATCTGATAATGGTAGTCCTAAGGGTTGGGATTTTTGACATTGTCAGTCCTTGCCAGCCATGGCAAGACACAGTTGGATTTTTCTGATGCTCTTTTAGGACTGTGCTGAGTACCAGCTTCAGGGAGTGGGAGAAGGAGGATGCAGGTGGGAGATAGCACCACTCTGCCTCACATCCAGGCTCAGCTGCTGCCTGGGTTCAGTTTATTGCCAAGTATCCACCATGAAAATATGTGTCCATCTGCAGCCCAGGGGAGGGCTGGGAGCTGTTGCTTGTGGCTGCCTGGAGATAAACCTGGCTCTGCTTTCCTGCAGGTTGTCAGTCCCATGTCCTCATGGTTTATGCACTAAAGGTCTCTTGTGCTGGCAGACCTATGGTCTTATTTCACTTGTTGCTGGGGAATAGGGGTGAGACAGTGCTGGGCAATGTGTCCTCCACACCCACTTTATGAGCACTGCTTCAACAGGTGGAAGGTTTTAATCTCCTCCATAATCTTCCCCCTTCCTAAGCAAGGCTGCTCTTTCTGTAAGGTTCAGCTCTGTTTCCTGCTCTGTTTTCCAAATCAGCATGTGCGCAGCTTGTTGGGCAAATTTAAATTCCCTATTCACTACACCGGGAATTCCCAGCCCAGAAGGCTTAAATCATCTCAGTAAGAACGAACCTCTATGAATTCCTGTTTGCAGGACAAGGAAACCTTTTCAGGCTTTCTGTGCTTCAGGTAATAAGGTCTTGATTTGTATTTTGTACAGCCCAAATAAGTGGCAATAACACATGGCTGTAGAAGGGGCCTGAAAGGAGGCTGTTCATGTCTTTGCCAGATTGTTACATCTTGGGTGGGATTGGGTAGGAGACCAAAGCAGCTCTTTCAATGTGTAAGCCACATCCTCCAGTGCCTGTAGCAGTGAGCTGTTGTATTCTTGTTGTATTCCATATTTCTAGCGTCCCATACTGTACCAAGCTGTTCTTCTCTGCAGCACAGTCCTTCATATCTTCTCAGGGGCTCCTCCTGGGCTCTTGACCCACCCTTATTTATTCCAGTTACCTTCACGAGCTACAGCTGCTGCCCAACTAAGGACTTCACAGCTGTAGCTCATTTGGAGTAACTAGGACCCACACAGATCTTACATGGACTCTCTCCATAACAATACAGGCCCCCACATTTCCCCCCTTTTCTTTTAACAATTATATGATTACAATACACATACAGTCCCAGCTCTCAGGCTGCCACAGCTCTTGGCTGTCTTAGATACATACATAGAATATATATATATATCCCTATACAGTCCCAGCTCTCAGGCTGCCACAGCTCTCAGCTGTCTTTGAACACATACAAATCCCTAGATGTTCCAAGCTCTTTTCCTTAAAGGCCATATTCTTACAGCTTTCTGCTGTTACAGCTCCTTAATTCAAAGGCCATATGATATTCTAAAATCCCAGCTCTCAGGCTGCCACAGCTCTCGGCTGTCTTATCTTCTATAATATCGGGGGGTCCCATACCTTCTCTCGATGTTCCTCATGGCTGCATGTTCTTCATCACGTCGGGGTCCCCAATTGTTGTATTCTTGTTGTATTCTATATTTCTAGCGTCCCATACTGTACCAAGCTGTTCTTCTCTGCAGCACAGTCCTTCATATCTTCTCAGGGGCTCCTCCTGGGCTCTCTACCCACCCCTGTTTATTCCAGTTACCTTCACGAGCTACAGCTGCTGCCCAACTAAGAACTTTGCAGCTGTAGTTTGGAGTAACTAGGACCCACACAGATGTTACAGGGACTCTCTCCATAACAATACATATATTCAGGCCCCCACAGTGAGCAGTGCTCCTGGGCTCCCTTTGGTCAGCCCCCCACAGCCCATGGCATCAGGGGCTCTGTGCACTCCAGAGTCACTGGGCACCTCAACCCAGCCTGAGTGGATGCAAGCAGCCATTTCACCCGGGTGGGCTGTTCAGTTGCCTAAACTTGGACATTTAGTGCCATGCTGGGGGGTCCAGGGCAGCCACATGGGTTTGGAAAATAACACATTGCAGAGCCCTTCCATCTGCAGAGGCAGATGGATCCAAGCCCGAGACCATGGGCCATGTCAAACAGCACCAGATGCTCAAGCTGAGGTGACTGGATCACACCCTGCTCCCTGCTCAGAGCCCTGCTCCCACAGTGTGGATTCATCTGCTTTTGGTACATTTACATCACTCTCCAGCCTCCCTTGATCCCTCTCTGCTGAGTGCAATGTGATCTGAGAAACCCAGCCCACACCTCACATGTCCTAGCCTTGGTCTGGATCTCATCCTTGCTTCCAGGAATAGCCAGAAGCTGCAGATGTGGTGTCTTAAGAAAGTGAATGTCTGGAATACAGTAAAAGGAGAGGGAGGAGGAGGGTCCTTCCCTAAGCTGGAGGGAATTATCCCTGGTGGGGTGTCTGGTACAGCCAGGATGGGCACGGGTTGAACACGCAGCTTTGTGGCCTCAGCAGTGCCCCACCACCAGAGGCAGCAGTGCCAGCTCCCAGAGTGACATGGCACTGAGATGCCACAAGGACCTGGTGAAATGCTGGGAGTTATTAGCTGAGCAGGAGTTATTAGCCCCAATATGTAGCTGCACCCATTTGGATTTGCCATTTCCAGCTCCACAGTCAGCACAGCTGGAGCCACTTGCACATCCCCAAACCAGCTGCAGATGCATTTCTGCATATGGCAATCCAAGCACAACGTCCTGCTTCATCTCCTCACCTCTCCCACAGATCCTCACTGCCACTCTGGACAGACTGTTGTCATTCAAGAAGATGAAAACTCAAAGGAACCAGCACAGAATCAGGCATAAATTAAAGATGCTTTGAGCTAATATTACTACAAGTGGTTTGAGTGCCTCCAGACCCGAGCTCAGTCTCACTTGAGAGCCCTCAGTTCATGACACTGGAAGAACAAACTGTTTCTGAGGCACTGATGCTGTGGAGAAATATTTGTTTCCGTGATCTGCAAGGATGTCTTGGGACAGAATAATTCTGTTTCAGTGCCAGTCTCCAGTGCTTCTCCTTAATGACAGCCAGATTGCAGTGGAGTTTTTATCAAAACCTGTTTTGCATGAGAAGCCATTATTCACAAAAACTAATTTTAGAGCCTGAAATTTCCTGTTATTCCAGTTGCAGTATTTCTAAATTTGAAACAGCCTCACTGTTGAGCCGGGCCTTCCACTTACCACCAGGTAGTTTTGATCATGTGTCCAGCTTTAAAATATAAAGCAGAAGAAGAGCAAGAGACTTCACTGGATTCCCAGCAGCTGGATCTGGGGCCTTTCTGGGTCAGATAAGGGATTACAAAAGCTTGGGGAAAATACTGATCACATGCATACCGTATATAGAGAAGATAAGTTAATTTATGCAAAAAATAGAAAATCATGTTTTGAAGCTGGAAAAGAACCTGGGGGCACAGAATGCTCGACCTCAGCCCCTGGTTATTCATAGTCTTCTGCAATAGGTCAAACACTTTTTTTCTTGAATTTTCTTCTGTTTCCAGTCACTGTTTGGACATAGAGTTACTGGTTTTTTGTTGTTTATAAAAAATTACCTATCTGGAGATGAATCTTGGATCAAACTTTCACACTTTGCTGCTGAGCTGCTTTTGACTCTCAAGTAGATGTGCATGAATCATCAGTGCTGTTTGGAAGGATTAACCAGGGACAGTGCAAAGTATATTGTGCCAAAAGAAGTTTCCACTGTCACCTAGGAGTCATCCATTGGGAAAAAGTGGTCAGTCATCTTTCCTGCTTTGTTAAGGAAAAAATGAGGAATAACTTACTTGCTCAGCCCTGGAAGGAGAATCAAGGTGGCAGAGGACACAGCATTTTGGGTTGCTCAGGAAAACTCAGCTAACATTGGGAAAAGAGCCCCAAATGATCATTCCTCATTGCTTGCTTCTTAATTTCTGTGTGATCCCCTCTGCTGATGTGTCCTTGTCCACAGCTTTGTGGGGCACCAGCGTCAGCCAATATGAGGGACTGTTCCCAAAATATACAGAAGGAATACACGTGTTTAATCCCTATAAATAGCACTTGGATGACTCCCCACACCATTCATCTCAGGTCTTTGAGCAGCTACTGAATTCTTTGTCCTAATCTAACTGTAAAATTGTTTTTAAAACTAACCCTGGGGCCTCTTGTGTTACAGACTGGACAATGACCATGTGAATTCTTTAGTATCACCCCCAATATGAAATGGGATCTGCAGGGGTTTGCTTTCTCTGCCTGGTGAAGACAAAATGTTCCTGCTATTCCTCTTGTGCTCTCAGGATCACTTTTAGAATTTACTTCTGGAAATGTCTTTCTCTTGTACATCCACCTGTGTTCTTCTTATCTGCATCCCATTATTTTTAAGGCAAGACTGGGAATAGGAATTTAGGGGAAAATCTGTTGCTTATGTGATAAGGTTGCTAAAAAAATTCTGAAAACCTTTTATTTGGTGAAACTGCAAGAAAATGATGACAACTAATAGCTGTCTGAAACTCCCCCAGGACAGTGCTGGAGTTTTTCACATTGAAGACAGAGGGGTTATTTTTGCATTTCTGCATATCTGAAGAAAAGCAGCAGAACCTCTGATAGTGAGGTCATTTTATTCACACAGAAATGTCCCAGCAGATGGAAATGAAGTCAGTGGGATTTTGATTCTGTAAGAATTAACCAAAAAACTCATTATGGACTTTGGAAAGTGGCCCAGTTGCTGGAAGTCCAGCAAGATTTCCTCCAGCCATAAAATGCAAGATAGGCTGATTTGCTGGGGTTTTCCCATCCCTTCTGCAAAGCCAATAATGTTAATCCTTAAGTTACACTAAAACTTCCTAAGCTCTGTTTTTAAGGGAAAGGACAGCAAGGCTGTACATAAAATATTTGTATTTTAGCTCTCAACCCATCAGGGTGCCCCAGTGTTCCCCTCCCACATTCCACCTCTTGTGACCTACAGGGCTTGCTCCTTTCTCCCCTGCTTTCTGCTGTAGGTCCTCATTGATTTGCCTCCCAGAGGAACATCCTTGCATCCCGCTGTGCAGGAGGCTCATCCCATCCCTGGCCAAGCCAGGATCAGCCCCTGGGCTCACTCAGCTCTCAGGTGAGGGCTGATTTGGGGGGATCTCCCTGCCCATGACCTGTAGCAGCAATGAATGCTTCTCATCCTCTTCCTAGCAAGGGAAAAGCTGAGCCAAAAGAGGCTGTTTTCTGCCCTGTGCCCAGCTCCTGGCAGTTCTGGTGCCATCCTGCATGACCCTGTCTCTCCTTGTGCCTCCACATGGGCTGCAGTGACCTCCTGGACACAGAGACTGATTCCCCAGCCCTGCACATACTCCAGCCATGCAAGCTTTTAATCTCCCCCGTAATCTGAAAGGCTCTGGAAGGGCTGGGGTTCTTGTTTGGACTCATATCTCTGTGCTCCCCCCTTTGCAGGGTTGTTGCCCTCCAGCTCTGTGCTGCTTAGCACTTCACTCCCACCTTTTGCTGCCACAAGTGTGCATAAATCACAGCAGTCCCAACTTGTGCTCTTGTACCTCTGCCAAGGTAATTAGTACAGTGCACATTTGAAGAGAGTTATTTCTCTCTCCAGAACAGCCTGCCAGTGCCCCAGCATGCACAGCACTGTCTGCTTGCCTTCAAATGCTTTATCAGAGCACTTTGGGTTTGTCTAAGGAAAGTGCTGAGGAAGGCAAGAAATTAATGAAGGGCTGTCAGGCTCCTTAAATGCAGCCCCCTGAGTCTCACAGGGAGGAGGGGACAGAGCAATGGCTTCAAGTGGATCTTTTTTTCTTCTTTCTTTTTTTCTTTTTTCTTTATTTTTTTCTTATTTATTTTTTCTTTCTTCTTTTTCTCTTTTTTCTTTTATTTTCCTTTTTTCTTTTTTCTTTTTTCATTTTTTTTTTTCTTCTTTTTCTTTTTTTTTCTTTTTTTTTTCCTTTTTCTTTCTTTTTCTCTTTTTTTTTCCTTTTTTTCTTTTTTTTCTTTTTCTCCAACCTGGGAATCTCTACCCCGGTGCTCATCCTGCCAGTTACAGCGCTGCTGTTGTCAGCTCCATCATTTCCCCTCAGTAAAGCACCCAAAATCTTGAGGGTTGTGATGAAAGAGGAGGAAGGAGAAAATCAGTTTATGCGCATCCCACCCCAAGACTGTGGGATGTGAGCACTGATAATTATTACACTAAAACAAGTAATTTATAATTTCTTCACAGATACCAGTAGAGCTGGACACTGATTGTGGATCCAATCTCTTCATTAAGCCCCCAGATGTTTTTCCTCTATTGTCTGTGTACATAGTAGCTTTTTGGCATTTGCTAAATTTAGTATTTTAGGGACTCTTCTCATACACCACCTGCACCATGGGGTTTCCAACAGGAGCACCCAGCCCCAGGCACCAGCAGGTGCCCATTAAATGGGTACACAGTCCTGCTCTGGACATACACACTTCTCTGGCAGGAGGTGATCTTCCTCCTTAGATAAGGACACTCATCCAGTGGCACACAAATGAGGACTGGCTCATCTCTCTGAGATAAAGAAAGAGATTTCTGGTTCAGCTGAGCCACAGTGGGTTCATCATCATGCTGCAAATGTCAGTGGAGTTCTCCCGTGTCAGTGTGGCTGTGATGCAGATCAACATCTCAGTATTTAAATTATTTATCAAGCACACTGGCTCTTCAGAGCTAACAAAACATTGCTCCTTTCACCCTCAAGTGTTGAGTTGGTTCAAATAACCTCCAGGGCAGCCGGCTGCCTTTGGGTTATAAATAACTCAAGTATTCATTTCTTGCAGTTTCTGCTGCTGTTTCTGAGCTAGATCTACAGTCTGTTTGTAATTGCTCTCTCCAATTAAATGCTTTATGGAGGTTGATTGACTCTGAGTTTAAAATAAACTGTAGGAAAAATATCATTTCAATACCAGCAAAGCATGTGGAAGAATGATTTAGACCACAGATCAGTGATAAGAGGAAAAAAATGTATCATCTCTACACAGAGGCAGGAAGGGCCTTAACTGTTTAACTGTGAGCAGGATGGGTTTGCTAAAACCTTGGTCCAGCTTCAGACATAAATCTGGCACTTTGCAACACTGGTGTTAAAACTTGAGGAAGGGCTGTCTCTGCTGGCATGTCTGTGCAGAGTGGGACAGAATGCTGCCTGCAGCACCAGCTGGGTGTGAGGGATCTCTGGCACACGAGTTTTACCACTGCACTTGTTTAATGCAGTGCTAGATGTGCTTTTCCCACATCCAGCCCTGCCTCAGCGTCGTGGCTGTCCTGCTCTGCAGCACTGGGAGGGTGCACCCTGAATGGATTAGCTCAAACCAGGCAAATAATGTTCAATGTCCTGCTTGGTTTTCTTTTTTTTTTTTTTTCCTTGGTTTTTTTTGGCTACGTTTTCTGAGAAGTCTGACTATAACCACTGAGAACCAGGACAGGACTGTTGTCAGCCTCAGGCAAGGCAGGCAGTTGGATGTGGTCAGCAAAATCACCTGCAGGGGTGAGAAAGGGGGAGGCTGTCCCTGTGTCTGCAGCAGCAGCAGGGCCCTGTGCAGCCCTTGCAAGCTCTGCTGCAGAGCTGCATGGGCTCCTGGGCATCCTCCTCACTGTGCCAGGGGACACAGAGCCCAGCACATCCTGCAGGTGCATTGTGCCCTCTGCCTGAAAGCTCTGCAGGGCTCCTTGCTCTGCTCTGCACCAGGACTTCTGGATGTGCTGAGGGGTTAGAGGGGCTGATGCTCTGTGGATGAAGGGTTTAGCTCATGAAATCTCCTCTTAGGAAAGGATGGCAGGGATCATGTCTGTGTAATAAAACCATTCCTCTGGTTAAACACTCAAAAGCATGCAGAGAGAGGCCAGGATATCTGAGGGGTCAACAGCACCAGGCTTCCAGGCAGAATTCTGCCTTGTCCAGGGCAGTGCCAATCTCCAGAAATGGCTGTCCATATTCCTGAAGAAACTTCTCTCATGGTAGCACTTGTCTGCTTGAAAACTTACTGGGACAAGAGTTTCTCCTTCTTCTCCCTCCTTCTTCCCTTCTGGGCAGAGATGGCTCCAGTGGTCACCTCTCTCTTTTCCTGCTCTCCACCAGGCTCTGTGGATATCCCCCTTTCTATGATGAAAACGACTCCAAGCTCTTTGAGCAGATCCTTAAGGCAGAGTATGAGTTTGACTCTCCATACTGGGATGACATCTCCGAGTCTGGTAAGTAGCTACTGCTCTTTAAATTTAAATGCAACAGCCATGCATGCACCTGTGCCTACTGCATGCAACCCCCTGGGCATGAAATGCACCCTGCATCATGTGCAGAGATCCTTTTGACTGAACACCAGTGGGAGTATGCATTCCAGTGGAAATGTGCATTTCTTTTGGCTCAAATAGTCATGGGAGTTTGTTTCTGCAGCAAATTAGGTCTGTCAGTCACACAAGAAGCACTAAAACATAGCTAAAACAGCAGATAAAGATGGCAGAAGACTGTCCCAAGAAGAAAAAGCAGCTTAATTTCTTCATTGTGTCCTAATGAAAAGCAGATTGTTAATGTGCCATTAATAGTAAGGTGGCAAATGAGTTTGGCTCAGTTGCTGACACTTCACTGCAGCTCCAAAGCAAGTCCTCAGTCTGTGCAGCAAGAAAACCAAGAAATGAATGGCTTACAAATGAGGCAGGTGAGCAGATCCAGAAACTGAAAGGACTGTCCATGTGGGTGATGTTCCCCATCCAGTGCAAGGGGACATGTAACCCATAGTACCCACCTGCCCCTGCTCCAGTGAGCCTGGCAGAGGGGCAGATACCCCACATGTGTTACAGGCAGATGTTCCAAGGGCTTCTGGCTCCAGTGTGGGTCTGTGTCTAGGGGTTACAGCAGAGGACATTCAGCCTTGCACCTGCATGTGTCCCTGACACACTGTTTAGCCTCCAAGAGGTCACCCAGGCTCAGTATCCTTGCTCTGTCCAACCCAGGGAAACATCTGCTGCTTCATGCAGAAGAAGAAATGAATTCTAGGAATATTCCATCATGTAAAAATGTCCCTATAAATACAGTTTTCTGATTTATTAGTGCTACTGATTGAGGCAGGGGAGATAAAAATTGAGTGTTTTTATTATAAAGATGATTATATATTCTCTTATCTCCACACAGAGAGCAGCATTTTATGCTGCTTACATCTGCAGTCCAGATATCATTGTGATGGATTGCTCAAAAATAGATGTGATGAGAAGTTTTTTTTAAACTAATAAGGATTTTCAGAGAAAATATGAAGGTCTGCTGGCAGACCCTTCTGTCTCATGAGGGAAAGTCCATCACCTAAATCAGCACAAAGATTTTCCTGCCATATTTGGCTTTGCTGTGGCTCCTTCAGCTGCACTGTCCTGAAGCTGCTGGACACATGCCACGCTGCGATCTCCCTTCCTTCCATTGTGGCGTTGATTAAAAACACACTGCCTCCTGCTCCAGGGAGTCCATTTGCCTTGCTCAATTCCTCCTAAATAGGTGTCCTGGTTCAGAGCAAATTTGGGAGAGAACCCCCAAAGGGGCTCCTCCAGGAAAGCAGATTCAATCGGCCCCTCACCCAACCGGTCAGGGAGAAAATACCTCCTTGGAGAAAAGTGGGAAAAACCTGTTTATTAAACAATAAAACCTAAACTATATCAAACAATAAAACACCTTGCTGCTTCAAAAGAGATGACAAACTGAGAAAGTCCCTCCATGGGCTGCAGCTCAGCTCACTCAGTCTCTGATCAGTCCCTCAGTGCTGGAATTGTCGCAGGCCAGGCCCAGCCTGGTGGGCCTCAGGTGGGAGCTGCTGGTGCTCTGCTGGGTGTTCAGTCCAGAGCAGGTTTCAAGAGGTCCAAAGAAAGGGGAAAAAAGAAAAAAAAACACAGTGCAGAGAACTTCTTTGCCTCAGCTAGCTAAAACTAACTAAAAGCAAAGGAGAGCTCTGTCCTGCTGTCTGTCCATTCACAGACAACACAGTCAGGAGCAGGAATGTGGAGGAGTGAGTGCAGTGGAAAACAAACTGCTGCTTCTTCTCTCCCCCCCCTTCACTCTCTGGAACAAGGCTTAAAGGTGCAAAACTTATTATTCAGCATAAACAGAACAAGGTGATTGGGGATAAAAGCATCATATAGTCAACCCAGGACAGTAGGCAACATGTCCTCACAGCTGACCATGTGCTTGGGATGAGCAATGTGAAGCTCCTCTTACTGTGGCATCTGACCTCCTCCCTCTCCCCTGGCTGACCAGCACATCCAGTGCATGTGGCCACATTCACACCACTAAGATGATGCTGACCAGGGCCCCAGAGCTGTGCACTGCTGACTCTGAATTTTCCATCCCACTCCTACATGTACCTTCAGGAGTAGGTGCCTTCAGCTTTTATCTGGTACACTAAATAGCTTGGGTTTGATCCTAAGTCAGTTTGGTTCTATCTATACTAATAAATGACAAAGGACCCAGGGCTGTTTTCTTGTGCTGTGGCCAGAGGGCACTTGGTAGCCTGATCAGTGCTATTGAAAGTGGCACTAGAACTGGACATCAACTCTATTGTTTTCAATAGTTTTCTCTTTTTTTTTGCAGCTAAAGACTTCATTCGGAATTTGATGGAGAAGGACCCCAATAAAAGATACACCTGTGAGCAAGCAGCACGGCACCCTTGGTAAGCAGCGCCCAGTGCTCTGAGAAACCCTCAGGACACAGAGCACCTTTTTACATTCCTGCATGGAAGCGGTTTTTCTGTCACACATTGTACTGACCACTACTACCTAACTCTGAGCTTTTATTCTTACAACACTCTTTATCCTCCAGATTTTCTTGGAAACCTGTAACGGACTTTAATCTCATGCACCAACCTGTGTAAGGATTAGTAAAATGCTGAATTATGTATGTTGACTGTAGTGCAGCAGTGGGATGTGCCAAAATGATTAAAGTACTTAAAGTCAAATGATCCTTTTGCATATGAGTGACTTCATCAACATTTCCCAAGGTTTTTGTAGCTGGAACAAGGGTGACTCATGTGCTTCTGACCAGCCCTGAGTGACTGAGAGCAGCATCCCACACTACCAGCTGCACCCACACATGGGCTCTGAATCTCTTTTAGGGTAGGGAATATTATATAAGCAAGGTGAGGTATTATTTTTGTTGTTATAATAGCTGCAACAGAAAAAAAGTAATCGCATAACATTTTCACCCCAGGTGTGCATTACACTCTGGTTTTATACTGTTACAATTGCCCCAAATGCCACTTCCTTTTGCATTGTCTGTGCAACAAAAAGGAAATTTGAGACATGAAATCCCACTTTTGTGAGATGAATAAAAAATCCCAGACTGGTTCTAAATGATACTGACCTGAGCCTCAGGAAATTAAACAAGTCAGTATTAGGAATGCAGAATAAACAATGAGAATGCAGCTCCCAGCAGGGAGTGAGGTGACCATTTGTACAACTCAGAGGCAGATTTTCCAAAGCCTTACATCCAAAATACACAAAATGTAAGCATCCAGTTTCTGGCCCTGCTACATCTGTGTTAGTGGCTGGAGTGCAACAAAGAAACGTGGCACTTGTAACACACACAGCTTCTGGGCCCTCTGAAAGGAACAAAATGATAAAAAGTGTTTTCATTCCTTTTTTGTGTGTGGTTTTATTTTTTTTCTTTTGCATGTCATGGCCAAGGGCCAATGGAAACTCACAGGCTGCTACATAATTCGTACTATTTTCCACAGAATCCAATTTTCCATTTAAAAACAACCCCCCAAAAAGGTTTTTTCCCCATTTCTCTGGAAGGGGGTCTTCTTCTGCCAGGCTGCCTTTGCCATCCAGTGGTTCATTTTCAAGACTTCAGGTTCTGACACAGCGCAGCTCAGGGTCAGCCTTTGAAATGTCAGACATGCAAATGGCACTGCAGAAGGGAGGCTGAAAATATTCAACATATTGTCACTCCACATCCTGAATCCACCTCCCTTTGACTTGGGGAGAGTGTATGCCAGGGGATTAGAGGACAAAAAGGAAAAGCATGGAGGTTTCCAAAGCTATGGATGGCTTCAGACCTGCCTCTGTCCTCCCCGTGAGCAGCTTTCCATGCCTCATTCCCCCTTGCTCTGAGAGCTCCCTGTAACATGGACACTGCAGTTATGGACCTCTCTGCAGAGATGGGCGGTGATTTTTTATTTTTGGAGGCTTTGGATCCTGTAGTGATAAATGCCTTTTTGGATAATCCTGGCTGCTCACCCACATGTTGTTTTGGAGTTAGTGGTAGGATCTCCTTTTGCCAAAGCATTGCTCAAGGAGCATTTTCCACCCAGATTCCTTATATCAGGAAATAGTGAGGGTTTTGCTGGTTTTTTTTCTCATTCTAGCCATTACATCTGTGGCAGTGACATCTTTCCTTCTCCTGGAAGGGAGGGAAGGCTTTTTCAGTGCAGGAGGAAGAGAGTTCTGTGCTTTGTCTCGGTGGTCAGCTGTGTCCTTCTCTCAATGTGGGTGTATTTAAATTTCAAGCAGCTCCAGGCCTGAGTTCCTCTTCCTCATGGTTGCATTCATTGTTGCAGCAGCTGCAGACAGGGGTGCGCATGTGCAGCCAGCAGAGAGAGGTCACCACAGCTTTTGGATCATCCCACAGCCCCTTTTGAGATGAGCATGGATTTCACATCCCCCCAGCTACATCACCTTCCACAGTGATGCATAGAGAGCATCTGCTCTGTGTGTTGTCACAGGACAGGGGTACCTGAAGCTCTTGGCGTAGTGGGAAGAGATGATCAGAGCAGGCTGAAGTGGTCCCATAAATTATATGCTTTTGCAGAGTGTTTGCACTGCAAGCAGCCCTTGATGGCTGCTCATAAAAGGTGTTTTTTTCTTGTCTGCACAAGCAACATAACTGGAGAAGCATCTTTGAACCCTAGAGTTCTCATGAAGCAAAATCCTGATTCCAGGTCTCCACTGAGACTAATGGGAGTTGTGACAGATTTCCGTGAGATTTTGTCTCCTTGTTTCAGCAGCAGAACACAGGCCTCCCTGGGTCACTGTTGGTGTGCAAATGGCAGATAATTAATAGATTTATGGTGAGGTGGCTCCATGTAGTAACATCTTCCACCTTTCCCTTTCTCTTCCTCCTGTGAATTCTTCCTATGCAGTTTCAGATCATTGAGATCTTCGCAAATTAGGATGAAATCTATCAAATCATGAATAATTAACTCATATTTTATAATCTGATTGTGCTAAAAGTAGATAACTGTATGACATGGCTACCTGGCCATGAAATTTTGTTGTTTCAATATGCAGTATTTGTGAAGAACAAACTGATTCTAAAACACACCTTTTATTTTAATCACTGTGTTTTCATTAAAACCTTCCAAACAGGGCTTGCAGGAACTGGATCTTGCAAGATAATACATTTGTTCCTTTAAGGTTAATAATATCTTTGAATTTTGGGAAACTGCTCCAGAATACACAGCTATTTGCATGACTAAATGTTTGCACAGGATCAGACCCTAAAAAAAGTCAATACTTCTTCCCAATGGCCCACTTTTCTGCAGTGTATCTGCTCACCACATGCCTGCATTTATGTGATGTCTGGCTATTTATAATCAAATGGCCTTGGTAGGGGGGTGGTGTGTTAAAGTCAGAGCTGGCAGAAAAGGAGGCTAATAATTGCAGTGAAGTATGACAGCAGAAACAGTACAATATGTGAGACTTGTTGGTGTAATGAGTCCACCCCTGCATGTCCATTTATTCAGATTTCTCCAGTTTAATATACAGGTGACTTGTGCTTTCCACTGGAAAAGTTATTTATTTTATAATGTATCTTTCAGTGAGGTTTGCACTGTTTATGGGGTGTTGCAAAGGTGCAATGTTCTGCTTAGCTTTTCCCACTGTGACTTTTCAAAAAGGACATGGAAAATGAAGGTAACAAAAGAATGGGGTGATTTTGCTGCAGCTTGATACATTTTAATGTTTCCCTGGCTCATATTAAAGACAGCAATTAAGTTTATTAAATATATTGCCATGTCAGAGCCCACATCCTGTTTAGGGCAGTGGCTCAGTCTGCAGTGATTGGGGGAGCAGCAGAAACCTGAGGACCTGGTTTTTCCAGCTATAGACTTACAGAAACATAGAATATCCTGAGGTGGAAGGGACCCTCAAGGATTATCAAAATGTGCTCCCCATCAGGTCAAGCTAGGTCCTGCAGAGCCAAATTCAACCTCCAGGCTCGGATCAGAGGGAAAGAGAACAGAGCTCAGAGGGTGAGGACAAAGTCCAGCAGCTAGGAGCTAATACAGAACTTAGAAGGGCTGCCATGAATTTATTTACTCCATCATGCATTAACCAAGGGAACCTAAATGGCATTTAAAGCTGTGTGCTGAAGGCACTTACAGCATCACAGGCAATTTGGGGCATCTAAATTAAAGGATGATGGATTAATGGCCTCCATGTAGAGATTGTAAATACAGAGACTGTAGAAGGGAGAAGGAGCTTGTGGCACCAGTTGGACCCCAGTGTCTGCAGGCAGGAGTGTGGTCCTGGCTGTGCCAAGGGAGAAGGGATCCTTGGGATGTGCCAGCATCCAGCCACACCCACCCTGAGGAATCACAAAGCTCTGGCAAGGGCTGAGCCTCTGCAAACTGTGACCATGACTCCAAGTGTTTATCGTGTGCCAGAGAGCACAAGCCAGATAATAATTTCCACCCAGGGAAAGGACATGGTTTACAAAGAGCTCAGCTCTCAGACAATATTGTTTGAAGTGTGAAAAGGCCTTCCTGAAGGGAATTGCTGATGTTTACAACATTAAATCAAACTCTTATCGAGTTCATCCCCACACTCTATTTATTTTGGAACATCACTGATACAGTGTGTGTGTATATTTATATACGTGCATGGATGTGTGTGTGTGTGTACATATAGAAGAGTTATGATCCCTCAGCATTATCCATTACTGCTAACTCCATGTTTCCTGTCATCATACTCAGGAGTATTTCCAAGCACTTTTTGGCCAGCACAGCATTTGAGTTGGCTGCCTTCAGAAGGAGGGTTCAGAAAATAATGGTAGATGAAAGGCTCTGCCTGCCATTGTGGGCAGGGAGGATGAGAGAGACATTTGCTTGCAGCATGCTAAAGAAGAACTGTCCAAAAGGAAATTTGCTGGTTTTGTCTGTGTTGGAGGTTCCTCTCAAAGCTTAGAAGTGGTATGGCCAGATAAATTGGTGTGATAAGTTTGAAGTCAGCTAGAGAGCTAAAATAAATTAGATACTATGAAATAATATTTGATCATTAGATTAGATTCCTCTCATGTGCAGGATTAGATTTGTTCTGGTTATTCATGAGAAATACCCTCTTTAGTTTCAGTGGATGTGTTTGGGATGGGGAGCCATCATCCTTGGTCTCTTGGTATCCATTTCTGTGCATTGAGACAGTTCTATATTTACAACTGGATGTAAAACCAGCTTCAACATGAAGTTCCCCAAAGCATTGTCAGGATGCAGCTGCTCTCAGGCGCTGCAAAAATGGGAATCTGGAGAGAAAATCCAGGTTTCACTTAGATTAATCATTCCTTGCTTGGTTCTGGGTGATGTTCAGCAGGATAACAGATGATGCATTATTTTGATTTGTTTTATTTTATTTTGTGTATGTATGTGGTAGGTAGAAGCAATTTCTTTTACTGGGCCAAGTAGAACAGTTGGTAAAAAAAAAACTTCAGAGCTGACATAGTTAACTTCAAAGTTAACTGCAAAGCCAGAAACTATTGTTCAGGACTAGATAAGCATCAGTCTGATTAGCTGAAGTTGATTGCAGTTTCCCAGTGAAAATTGAGCTGACTTCTAGAGGCAAAGTATATATTGAGCTAGAGAGGAAGGGAGAAAAAAAGAAAAAAAAGATACTGAGGTATTTTTGTCCTAAAAGGAAAAATGAGATGGTTTATAGCCTGTGGACTTGGAGAGTTAGGGAAATGTGGATGGGAAATTAAAAATGCACTAAAACCAGTAGTTTTAGTTATCTTTTAATTTGATTCTTTCTCTTCTCAGCAAGGGAAATAAAGTTCATGATTAAATACTTTTGGTATAGATGTGAGGATGCTCATGATAGCCAGTAGATCTCTGTGCCCAAACATATCTAATTTTTCAAATCTACCAGCTGAGAGTACAAAACATGTGACTTCTCCCTGCTCACCTCCACCTCTCTATGTCCTGAAACCCCCACATCTGCAGCAAAGCGTCAACTGAGAACGGATGATAGCATTGCTCTTGTTTTCCTAGAAGTAAAACTATACTATAAACACTATAACACCACAAGTATTTAATAAAAGTTACAAAACCCTCCAAGTGCAAAACGCAGTCTGAAAGCACAGTGCTCATGTTCCAGCACCCCAGGATGAACAGGGTAGCTCTTCAAAGGCGCCTCGGAGAGCGATCCCACTGCCAGCCCTGGCAGCTGAGGCTGCATTCTGAGCCCCACCATGCAGCGTGCCAGCACGTGTTGGAACAGCTCCTGCTGCGCTCAGTTAGCCCCAGCAGTGCTGTGATTTTGCTCTGATTAGAAACTATCATCTGCAAGGTGCTAATGTTGCTGAAGAGACCTAAGGTGTAGGATGGTTGCAGCGCTGTAGCATCTGAGGGCTTCACAGGATGTCTCTCCAGCCCCTTGTGAAGTAAACAAATATTCTTCTGCCTGTCTGGGAAACACCCAAATACCAAGACTTTTTTTCCTGGATTACAATAATTGCATAGTGAACATAGAGTTAGGGGTGGTAGAAGGCAGTTTGTGAACTGTTGGAACCAGCAATTTCTTATTGAAACAACCAGCATTGCAGAAAACGATCCCTAAACGAAAAATAATAATAATGAAAAAACAACCTCTATTGGAGCTACATACCCAATCAAAAGCTTCATATTACAAAAATGTTATTTTCAAATCCTTGTGGAAACTTGCAAGAACAATCTTCTGGAAGAGTTTTCAAGGGCATCATGCCCCAAGAACTTGTTCTATCTATGTTTCCAAAATAAGATTTGACAGGTGGGCAACAGGACCTGTTCTTATACAGTTTGTTAACCAACTTGTTTGTAAAGCAAAACAGATCATTAGCTTTGGTGGAAAAATGTCATTTGCAAGTGTAAGTGAATTTTCTGTCTTGGTCTCTTTGATCAGTTACTGAAGGCATGGTTTGGCTTGTAGTTTCTTCTGAGATGTGTAGTGTGACAGCCAATGCTCCCAGCTGGTGTGTGCTGAGGGCACCTGCCTTCACTAAGGAGGTGTTCTTGGACAGAGCAGAGTGCTCATGACATTTTGGAGTGCATGATCATGAGTGCTAATCATGCAGTTTGCATTCCCACCAGGAAACCCTGCTAGGGCCTGTCTGGGAGTGTGGACTGCTTGGGATCCATCAGGGTCTGTGCTGAGCCTGGCAATATTCACTGTGCAGGACAGAGGATGGAACAGTGAACATGATGCTTAACCCCCAGATAGTGCCTCACAAAGATTTTGGTCACCTGGCCCCAGTGGGAAATCCAGGAAATCCAACTTGCCTTGCTGTCAGTGGGAAAGGTGATCAGAAGGAATAATCTTCAAAGAAAGATCTGAAGATTATCCAGTTTTCAGCCAAACACCTCCCTTTCTCTATCAACAGCACAAGCACCCAGCAGAGGAATTCAGGTGCCATTTGGGAGCTGTGCTTTGCCCAGTCCTTCTGTCTGCTTGAGGCAGAGGTTCCATAGCAGTGAGACAGGGCCCTTCCCAGCTGGGTGATCCCTGCTCCTCCTGCCCACAATCCTGCTGGCTTCAGCACTCCTGAATAACCCAACAGAGGTGAGCTCAGTTACAGCAGGGTGGGATTGCTGGGTCTCCACTCTTGGGACATGAGGGTTTAGTCCTTCCTCCCAAGGGTAAGTAATTCCTCATCTCTGTGGTGAACATCTGGGAGATTGTTGTCAGCTGGAAGGAGGGCAGCAGTTTGGAGAAGGCTCAGCGCTTCTCAGATGTGCCAAGGACATGAAGGCAGAAAAAGCAGCATGTCCTTAGAAGAACAGTTTGGAATGATCTGGGCAAAGTGAAAGGGTGTCTCCAACACAGGGACACATAAATGGAAGCAGCAGGCTGGGGTATGTAAGCAGAGTTTTTTATTTTAAAAGCACAAAGCAATGCTGCCATTCCGCTGCCTTAGTTGGAAAACAGAAAGTTTGGGTGCTGCCCTCCAAGGAAGATGTGGACTAGTTGGAGAAAGTCCAGAGGAGCTCACTAGATCAGAGGATTAGAAAACATGAGTTATGAAGAAACAGGGAAACTCTGTTTAGTCTAGAGAAGAGAAGACTGAGAGAAGTCATGATAACAGGCTTCAAATATGTGAAAGGATGCTTCAAAGACAAAGGGAATAAACTATTTTCCATGTCTTCTAGGAGGTAGTGAGGCACTGGAATAGGATGGCTGAGGAGTCTCCATCTTTCCAAGATCTTTAGGGACTGGTTTGTCAAATATTTGTCAAAATTATTTTGGCAGAGCTGGGGTGGGCAGAAGGACTTGATGACTGCTGAGTCCTCCAGAACCTTCTGATTATCCTGCTGGAGCTCCTCAGACTGGAAGACTCTGGTCCTGGTGGATTATTAAATTTCTTATAATTTTTTATTGCTAATTCACATTGTTTTTCTACACAGTGGCTAAGAAATTAATTTCTGAAAGTATCACATACAACATAGAAGGCAATCTTTGCCTCCTTGCATCACCTACATTAGATAGCACTAATTACCCCAGCACATGGCCCAACATCAGTTCACTGATATTCCAACAGATCTCATGCCTTGAGGAGTTAAATTAATCAAAATCTCCTTGAAATAACAGAGTTTAATGAAGATTTGAATGTATCTTAATCTCTTAAAGAAGCTATACAAGATCAATCAATTATTTTAGGTTAAGTATTGCTCAGCTTAAGCTCTTTGTGCAGCCTGTGCTGCTTCAATGAGTGTCCATGTCTCTGCTTTGCTGTAAATCTACATTAATCATGATGAATGACTACTTACATTGCAGGGTGGCAGGAAAATCTCCAGTGCAAACAGACATCAGACAGGTTGGAGTGGCTCTGGAAGCTTCTACATAGCTGAGGCTAAAAGTAGTCTCAGCCTGTTGATGTTAAATCTTTGGATGTAAAGGAAAAAAAAAAAGGTAGAATGTTTTCATCTGGGGCTGTAATGGTGATAGAAAGCAGCCATGCACCAACAAAATCAGCCCATACCTCTTTGTAGCTGCCAGACTTACAAACCTTATCTACACTGGCTTTTATTGCCCCAGATTTTCCACTGCAGCTGCCAGCAGAGCCAGCCATGGACAGTTTGAGCCCATCTGTGAATGAAATCATTGTCACTGCAGGTGCGGTCACACCTGGGAGCAGGTGTGGGGGAAAAGCAAGAGTATTCAAGGGGAGGAAAAGATCTCTTAAAATGTATCTGCTCTGTCCGTTTCAGGATTGCTGGAGACACAGCACTCAACAAAAACATCCACGAGTCGGTCAGCGCTCAGATCCGGAAGAACTTTGCAAAAAGCAAATGGAGAGTAAGTGCCCTGTCCTGAGAGGTGACACTGACACTGGCACTGACACTAACACTGACTCACAGCTCTGCCATACAGCCATCCCTGCAGCAGGGCAGTGCTTTTGTGGCCCAAAACTGTGGTCAAAATGGTTGGTCCAGGCTTAGGTTACATCACTCTCTTATACAGGGTGGTGTTTGCCAAGTACCAAATGTAAAAAGTGTGAGGAGAAATGGGGCCGGGGTTTTTGGTGGAGTGGGGTCAGCACCATGCAGGGACACAAAGAAATGTGTATTGGGGCAGGAATGGGTTTGTCAAATAGGACTTTCTTGTATCTCAGAATCTCTGCTTGTCAGAGTGACTCTGAGATATGTACAAGCCTCTTTTTCCCTGCCCGGCAGTCAAAGAAGGAGTCAGGATTATTCTGTTCTTGTTCTCAAGGTTGTTTATTATTTCTTATCTGTAACATTCTTTCTCTGGCCTGCTGAGGTCTGTCTGGCAGGTTGGGTTGAGGCACACTGCCCGCCTCAGAGGTAGTGTTGTCTTTTTATACTAAAAAGTACGTGTACATTATTTACCATAACTTCCCAATACCTATCACCTATGTTAGACAGTGAGCTTCTACTCTAAACCAATCTAAAAATGCCAATACCACCCAGAAGATGGAGGCCAAGAAGAAGAAGGAGAAAGACTGGACACACCCAGATTCCTCCATCTTGTGACCCTGAGCCCCATTCTAAAAACCCCAAAAATCTATTTATTTTTCACCTTGTGATAAACTGTTATTTTACTTAAACTCTCTTGACTTGTAATTCTTCATATAAGGTTGGTAATTGTTTTTTCCAAGGGCTAAGTCAAAGGCACAGGGGTCTTGGGCTTTGTGCCAAGGTCTCTGAGCCCCCTGGCAGGGGCTCGAGTCCTCCAGGGCAGCCAGAGGAATTTCCTGGGTTCTGACACTTGTAGGCTGCTGCATCCACAAATGAGAATGCACTTCCTAGTTTAAAATCCATGAAAAAAATTGAAAGATCACAGGCTTATTCCCATTCTGACACTCTGAGCAGCCCGGAGAGGATCACGAGCAACCCTTCTGCCTCCATTTTTTTTTCATTATCCATTTGTTTCTTGCCACGTTTCTGCAGCAAGCGTTCAACGCCACGGCGGTGGTGCGGCACATGCGGCGGCTGCACCTGGGCAGCAGCCTGGACAGCGCCAGCGCCAGCGTCTCCAGCACCCTCAGCCTGGCCACGCCGCTCCCCGACGCGGCCACGCGCAAAGATTGTGAGTAGCCAACATCCTGGGAAAACCCAGAAAATCCACGGGATCCCCGTTTTCTCCCCGACCCCCCAGGCTGCAGTCCTCGCTGCCCGTAGGTTTGGCTTTGTGCAAGCAGGTGGTTAAAATAAGGATTTGAAACACGCCATCAGTTTTTGGCTGGCCAGAAATATTGTGTTGCAATTTCTAGGGGAAAAAAAAAAAAAAAAAAAAAAAAGATGTTTTAGCTCAGTGATTTCTGGGAGAAAATCACAGTTTCTTGTGGAGAAAAAGGGCTTTTGCTTGGGAAAAAGACCCAGACCCCCACAGCAACTACAAAGTTTTGTATTTGATTGAAATTTGAAAAAGTTTACTCAAACTGTTTAAGTTTTGGTTTACAGTATTATGATAGGACATTTTTCTGTAAAAATTGCCTTACTTTCCATTTCCATGGAGAAGACTGATCCTGCCAGTCAGACCCAGCTTCTCTCTTAAGAAGCTGGGTCCAAGTTAAGCTCCTACACAAAGAGGTTCATTTGTTTGAGCAGGATTCAGACTCTGCACCACTGTGGGACTTGGCCCTCTGCCATGTTTGCTTCATGCTGTAATTGATATTTGCAAGCTGCCCACTGGACTCAGGTGTTTGGGATACATATTTTTTCTGAATGCCAGGGAAGGGGACGTGGCAGCAAAGGGATTATTTGGAAGACAGAAATGCAACCTTTGCAATGAAGCCTGTTTATTCTCTGGCTTCTGACGATTTCTTCTTTTCTCTCCTGTCCATCTGTAGATATTTTACATCATGAAATGGAGGGATGTGGACTTTACAGCTGGGGGGGTTACTTTAAAGTGCAACACTAAAAAGGAATGCTTTGCTGTGGACTGAAGTAGTCGTTTCTAGACTGTACCTTGCACTATCCTATTGCTCAGGATGGGTTTTGGATAATGCTGCTCTCTGCTTCTGCCACCCCTGCTTGCCACCCCCTGCTCCTTGTTGAGGACATTCCACCAGCCACAGTCCTGGTGGTTCTGTGTGGAAGCTGTTTCCTCTTGCTCCCATGGGTGCTGTTTCCCCCACAACTGGAGTGAGTTCTGCCTTCTGGATACCCTGTGAGATATTTTTTCAGCCTGTGCTGTGGCTGAGCCAGGGGAGAGCCCCTTCTCTCTGGATAGTGGGCCTGGTGGGGATTCATACCTTGTGATGCCCAGCACCAAATCCTACAGCTGCTGCCAAAAAAACATCACTGTGCCCCTGGCACATACCCGGCACCTGCAAAGGATTGATGCTGACCATCCTCAAAACACTCCCAACCATGCACTGGCCATGCAGCCATGTAGAAAACCCCCTGTGTGGGAGAAACATCCCTTGGTTTTGGTTCCTGTTGCAGTTTGGCAAGGCTGGACCCCAGTCAAGTCTAGAGCATCTGATGAATGCTTTGCTGCTAAACTGGTGGGTGCTTAATGCAGTTAAACTGGTGGGTGATTAATCTCCATCCATCCATTTGATTAATCTCAAATGGTGTTAATTAATGGCAATCAGTAGTCTGAAAAGTGTTAAAACATGTGTGAACAGAAAGGATGGGAAGAGAAAGAAATCTGTTTCATGACTACAGAACCCTGTGCAGAATCAACCATATTTTGCAGTGATGAAGTCAACCAGGACTTCACCAATGAAGGATTAAACCAGATGTGTAAAGATAGGATGAGTTTTTACATGCCAGAATACAAGGCAGAAAAATATTGGAAGATTTCCAAGCATCCCAGCTAAAGTCCAGCTTGGCAGACAATGCAGAAGAGTTTTCTTCTTCTAAGAAATAATTTAAAGAGTTAGGAGATGCTGGAGCCCCAGAGAACCAATGAGGAGAGCCAGCAGCTAATACAAGGAATTAAGAGGGAGCTGACATATCAAATACATTCCATCCAGTACCTCCTGATAGGAAAAAGGAAATCTCTGGGGTCTCTGTCCTACCTCTTTATTTCTCAGCAGTTTTCTCTGGGTACAGACTCCTTGCACAAGAAAGATCCCATGCAGCAAGTTCCATGATCCAGCTGTGCCACCACTACACAACAGAATGCTGCCTGGTGCTATTAACAGACACTTTTTCAACTCTCCAAACACTTTCAAATGCAACAATGCCACATCACTGAAGACAATTAAGTACAGCCTTTGCCTGACAGCAGATTTTGTCAGGCTGCATCCAAACCCTCTGTAGTAGGGCAGAGCAGAGATCAGGAATTAGGCTGGATTATTCTACTTATCAGGAAACAGGAAAGGATTCCTAAGGGAATCAGCCAGGATTTCTCAAGTGTATTGGCCTGATTCTCAGTCCATGGCTGGTTTATTCAATTTAGTCATGACTGGACTGCTTAGATTATTTATAGGTCCTAGAGCTCTGTATTTTTAATGTACTAGATAAATTGCAATGTGATGCCAAGTGATGAAATGTCAATGGGAAATGGAATGTGGCCAAGTATAGGTACAGCATAATCCTCCTTGAGATTGAAATGCCACATTGAAGCATGGAAAAGTAGTTAAAAGTCCCAACAAGTATCAAAAAGATCTTGAAGAGTCAAAAGGCCATGTCAAACTTCAGTCTGAGAATATATTAATATAGGCTTCATCCATCCTTTATTCAGCACTCTGGAAAAATGAACTGTATTTCTAATCACTCTGAGCCTCCATCTTATCAGAGCAAGGTGACCATGCCAGGTCCCCACCTAACAGCTTTTGTTGCACCAGAATCCTGGTACTCAAGAGATGCTCAGCTGGAAGCCCTGCAGATATCGCAGCAAAGCCTGGAGCAATGTGAGCTGTCACTAGAGTGATGTCCAAGTCACACAAATTTACATTTCCTCTAGATTTACTGGAACTCAGCAATGAATTTGACCCACTGGGCTTCTTTATCAGCAGCTTCCCAGGATGCCTAGGGAACTGTGTTTAGCCCAGGTGCACAGTCTGTTCCTTTAGCTAGATGGCCATGGTGAGACATTTAACATGCCCAAGAAGAAATTATTCTCAGCAAGTACAATGCTGGAGGGATTTTTGAACCCCACAATTCTTTGTCTTCAGCCCTGGAACTGTGACATCGATGTGGCTGAACCAGAACTGGGCTTTGAGTCCCTGTTGAGATGGTGGCAGTAGGCGAATGACCACGGGCAGAAGATGCCCTGTGGAGGTACCCAACCAACCCACCACGGCAGGAAGAGCAGCAGCCCCTTCTCCAGCTGCAATCCTCTCCAGCAGCCCCTGCTCCGGCTGCAATCCTCTCCAGCAGCCCCTGCTCCAGCTGCAATCCTCTCCAGCAGCCCCTTCTGCAGCTGCAATCCTCTCCAGCAGCCCCTGCTCCAGCTGCAATCCTCTCCAGCAGCCCCTTCTCCAGCTGCAATCCTCTCCAGCAGTCCCTGCTCCAGCTCCAATCCTCTCCGCTCCGTAGTGCGCTATGAAACCAACTCAGCTTCTTCACCCAAGCTTCCACCTCCAAAAAATAACATTTCTAACTGTCTTTCTGGCTTTCCTTTTAGGTATGTCTCCATCCACTCTCTGTAGTTTTGTTTCATCTGCTTCTTCAGGCGTTTCTGCGGTGGGAGGGGAGCGGAGACCCAGAGCCACCACAGTGACCACGGTGCACACCGGCAGCAAGTGAGCGCCAGGGGCTGGCAGTGGCCTTGGCACCACCTGCCCTGCTCGGCCAAGGACTAGAAGAAAGAAGATTTTTTTATGGCCATATTTTATACTGCAATTCTGAAATGTTTCATTTATCACAAACTGCAACGACTCCAGGAGGAACGGAATCTAACAGTCTCTGGTGCTGTACATATATATATACATATATATAAATATATATATGTATGTGAGTCTAGCAATGTTCTAACTAATGAACACTCATTCTTTCCCCCAGTGATTTACTCTTTTCTCAGTGTAGGTAACAGTATATGTTGTATTTTTTTTCCATTAACTAAAACATCTCAACTGGATTATTTAAATAGAAATACTTTCCTGAGCATATTTTTTTCTTTTAAAAATTACTTCAAGCAATGTCCCTCTTCCAGTTTGCTGGGGGATAGGCTATTTCTGTAGGTAGGAATTGGCATTAACTTTGCAACATGGGAGGATTTCAATGGCATGCCATTTCTTGCTCCTCAAATAGGACTGCAAGTCTGTCTGGCTTTAGCAGAGCTGTTACTGCTCAGATTAAGAAACTGCTGCTTTCCCTCCATCCTCCTCCTTGAAAGCCATGGGGAGAATTAACTTGCCACCAGCTGGGAGTCAGCTCATCCTTGGCCTCATTCGTGCATGCTGGGGATCAGAGGAGAGGCAGGAGCTGTGCAAGGGAAACAACAGAGCATGGTCTCGTCCTGCAGCTCCCATCTCCTTCCAGTCACTGTGTGCTGTGGGCAGAGGGAGAGAAAAGGAAGATACAGGGGTGGGAATCATCATCCCCTGCTACTGATTTGCTCAAGCAAGAAGTTTAATTCACCAGCCTCCCCACAGTGTGGCCTCTGGCATGGGGTGCATCCAGCCCAGGGCTTCATGAGAGAGATTCCCAGCACCCACAGCTCCTTGGGGCTTTGCCTGGCATTGCTGATGCTCAGCACCTCCCAGAGCAGCCAAAAGTGGGGAGAGGAGGGGTGCTTGAAGCCCTCTGTAAAGCACTGGCAGGTTCTTGGGTGCAAAGTGCAGGATGTGGTGTAGGATCTGATCATGATCAGGATGAGGATTGACACAGAGGGCTGGGCTGGGGAAGCAGGACCTCACTAAAAGACACAGGCACAGCTGGCAGCAGTGGGGGCACTGGCTCTCCCTCCTCCCCAGAAGCTCATTCACCAAAGCAAGCCAAATTTACCCATTTTTTAATTACTGAATGCATGCACTTCCCAGGCTCTTTATGCTGGTGCATCTTTCAGGAACAGCCTCCACAACTGCTGTGCTGCTCTGCATTAAAGCAGCTTGAAACAGAGAGGGGAACAAATTTGCCCAGTTTGCTAAAGGGCTCCCTCCAGGTTACCTCAATGAAATTCCCATCTGATTTTGCTTTGAGGAGGTGAGGGGAGGCAGTGGCAGAGGCAAATGCCCTTCACTGGGCACTCTGAGCCCCTCACATCCCAGACAGGTCCATCCCTGCCAAGGCACAATTCCCTGCAGCATGCTCTGTTGCCACACTTGCCTCACTTACCCTGCACAAGAAATTATGAAAGCCAGTCACAGACAGAGCTGAATGCACCAGGCAATAGTGCTTGTGCTGGCAAAAGCCAGAAGATGGGTATTTTTCAATAAGACTTCTATATTCTGATCCAGCTTTGGCTGACATCACACGGCAGAGCTCGGATTTCATCCATCATACTAAAAGAAAACCTTGGGAAAAAAAAAAGCTGGAAAATAGGTGACAGTGACTCTGCTTGAAATAGCCACTCCTTCAGTGGCACTTGGAGCTGTTGCACCAAGTTTCTCTAGTTTCCTCTGTGGTAAGTGGCTCCCTGTTTTCAGAGGGCTGTGGCACACCTGAGTGAGCCCTGGTGCACCCTGTGCACCCCAGTGTGCTGAACCTGCCATGGGGGCTCACACAGGGAAGGCTGCAACTTCAATTTCTCATTTTAGGAGAGAGAGCAGATACTGAACTGTTGGGGGCTTACAGCAAAACACAAAATTTCCACAGTGAAGACTTCTGACCAAGATTTGGGCTGACTGAAGGTCAGGGGATCTCCTTGCTGCAAGTCACACTCCTGTCCCCATACGCTGGCCATTGCCACCATACACTTTTTATTGGCATTTACATCTGAGCTCTTTATGTCTTGCTGCAAAAGCATGAAAACACAAGTAGAATACAATTTAAACTCAGTCTAAGGCCACTTTATTTTACCAGCCTGAGTAAGGAAGTTTTAGTTTTGAGAGACTCCAACCCCAAGAAATTCAAGGTATTTTGAGCCCCCATGACTTCATAAGCACGGCTGGCCCCATTCTGCTCCAGTTGCAGGCTGCAAATAGACAGCCTCCCAGTCTGGCATCAGTGGAGTTCCCCACACTGACACACTGCAACCAAAAGCAGGATTTAGTTAGGGAATAGTTTTGTCTCTGTAGAGCAGTTTAAAAGGTTAGGGCTCAAATGTTCCCTCTGCGTCTCCTCTTCTGAAACCTGAGGTCTGGTTTGAACTTGACCTCAGGACTTGTTGTGGCCACTGATCAAAATACAGCGCCCAAATGAATCTTGCAGAGAAAAGAAAAGCAAGTGGATTTCCATTTCCAAAGCAAAGAGCAGTGACAGGAGCAGAGGCAGACATGCTGTCCCTGCAGAGGGGGGTTCCCTTGTGCTGGCTGCCCCTCCTTGCTGGGTGCTTTCTGTGGTTTTTTTTTTATTGGGAGGGGTATTCTTTCTTTCCATTGTTGGAATTAGTGTGATTTGGTTTTGTTTCTGCAAGTAATAATCTGCCTTGGTTTTGTAATTTGTCATCATTCTCTTTGGCTTGCTATCAACAGCTGGGATCGTAAGATAAGAAACAGAAGCACTTACGAGCAAAATTGTTTCTTTCTGCTACAGTTTTGGTGGTGGGGAGCTCTTCTTTGGTATCAGTGAAACACAGCTGGAGACCTGACCCAGGTTCACCAAATGCTTTGAGATCTCTCCTGAAGCATCACATGGTTAAAATTTCTCAGTTTAAATCTGGGTTAATCTGTTAACAGGGGGGACTTGGCAGCACCCAGGCCACATTTATGGGGCAGGGCTGGAGACATTTGGCTCTTGGCAGCACAGCCTGTTAGGGCAAACACTCCAGCCTTGCTTACCAGGGATGCTCCAGTGCTTTTGCATGTCCTTCCCCTGCCCCAGCCTGCTTCTGCTCAGCCTCTCTCACAGGAGAATGCAAAGGTAGAGAAAATAGTGTGGGCATGGGGAAAGGCTGAATAGCCCCACAGCAGAAGCTTCAAAATAAATCCCCAGCTGGCCTTGCCATGAAGGACAAGGTAAAAGATCACTCTGGGCTCTTTTCCAATGAACTGTCCTGCCAAACAATCTGTGATTTGCTGCTTGCATGAGGACTTCAGCCTGGACTCTGTTTGTTACCCTTTTCTGCTTTACTTTACTGGTACCAATGGGTTTTTCCTTTGTAACTTGTTTTCCTCAGCTCCTTCCCCTTCTTTTTCTTTGCTTGCAGCTTTGATTGTTGATTTTTACCTCCAGAGTCACAGAGGCCATCTCTGATGCCAACAGCAGTGCTCTTGCTGGGAAAACAAAACAAACAAACAAAAAAATCCAGAAAAGCTCCAGCTGGCCCCTTAGCCTGCAGAAGAAGTTGTGAGGACAGGCTGCCCGTGAACTCTGCGAGCTGAAAGTCAGTATTGCAGTGGCAAGGGCTTCTGCTGATGATTTTGCATGTGACTCCATTCCCAGTGCATCCTAACTCTCTGCTGGATCACCCCTTCTGCAGCACAAAATGGATTTTGGCCCTGCGACACAGCTGGTGGGGAAGTAGGAGTGTGGGGAAACCCTGGCAGTGTTGCTTTCCTGGGACTGTGTCACTCTGTGTCACTCTGCTGCTGCTGCTCTCTCCTCTGTCCTGGTTGCTGTTGTACAGGTGCCATTAGAGTAGTGGGTACAAAAAAAAAAATTTAAAAAAAAAAATTAGGATTTTACCTATATTTTACCTATGCCCTGTGTGTATGTTATGGTTGTGGTGCTGAAATAAAACCAAGAAATTTGGTTCATTCCTGACACGAATCAAACCACAAAAAGGGGTGTGATCCCACTGGTAGTCATCTCCTTGTAGTTCTGCTGTAGGCAATGAATAGGGGTTTCTGCTGTGCATGTGTCCTGCATACCTTCATGGCTATTGACAGTATTTTTTTTAATTACCAGTTATTTTGGGTCCCTGCCTGGTTCTGATGAAATTCAGGTCTTGTCCTAAGGTTTTTTTCTGTCCCAGGGCCAGCATAACCCTTGATCTCAGGCTTTTCTCCCCAAACCCTCTGCGAACCAGAACATGGACCTCCAGGGTGCCCATGAAATGCAGTTGCAGCTGGCCTCAAGGTTGTCCCCTTTTCCTATTTTTAGGGAAGCAAACCTGCAGAGAAAGCCAGATAGCTTTCAGCCATTGGCAAGCAGAGAGAATATTGCCCTTTGATGTGAACTTGGCATTAACAAGATCAGCACTAGGGAAACCTGTGCTATTACTTCCTCCTGTGATAACAGCTCCAGCCTTGAGCAGCATTGAATGAGCACCAGATAAAAACACCAGAATGACTTTGCCAGCAAGATCATGCAGGCTGTGGCCTGTTCATGTTGCTCTTTCCAAAGAATCAGGGGATTCATCTGCTGGCATAACAAGTTTCTAGGCTGAGCCCCAAGGTACAGAAGTAGCTTCCATTCAGCATATGGAAATTCTCATTTGATGCAATTATTCCTGTTCTTGCTGCCATGAATATTTACCTGTCTGAACTGGGGGGTGAATGCATGCCAGAAATTATTAATGGGAAGGAAGTTTTGCCTTCCTTATTGTGCTTATTTGCTCCAGAAACTCCAACACTCATTCAAGCAAAAAGCAGAAACACACACGGAGACTGCGGTATCCAAGGAAAACAGCATCAAGACCTAGAGTGGAGGATTAGTTGGCAAATCACTGTCAGCAATGGCTGAGTGAGGGAACAGCAACCTGCTCACAAGCACTGCATGAACTTTTATTTCCCCTGGTGAACCAGCCATCCCATATTTCATGCCCAGCAGCAAGTTTTACCCAATCCCTTTGGTTTTCCCTCCCATCCCTGCAGCAGGGTCCTGCCTTCCCAGCCTGTCTGTGGGGTGCTCTGCTCCCTGTGACACACGTGTGTTTTTGTGGGTGCACGTGCACATTGTGGCCCCAGGGATCACAGATCCCTCCAGTGGGTCATCAGGAGTTGGTCCAGGTTTTTTGGTCTGACTTTGTGTGGTTGGGTCAAAGCTGTGTAAATAGTGTGTGTAGCAGAGGATAGAGGCTCTCTAGCCTGGACTCTGGATTTCAAATCCCCTTTCCCCACCACAAATAGTGACACTTATCTGTCCAGGTAGCTTTTTTTCCCCCCCTCCTGTTCATAAATGCTAAGGTCAGTGGAATGGCTCTTACAGGTTTTCCATCCTCAGAGTGGAATCAGGGCATGTGTGCTCCCAAGCGTTGTGACAAACACTGCTGAACCAATGGTGGCATCAACTGTCCAATAAATGCATGATACTGCGCTGCATGTATTAAACTGCTGGTCACTTGTTCTGTATTTCCTGAGCCTTTTCTTTACCCACATCAACCCAACCTTCTCTCTGAGGGAGTTACCTCCATGTATTGCTTTTAAATGACTCAATGTATCTGTAACTCGAAATCCATTGTTAAGTTTAAGTAAATGCAAAAGCTGATGTTTTGTAAACAAGATATTCTGCAAAGCCTGGTAATGTATTTTGTCTTTCTGTTGAGTTCTGTGCAACATGTACAGGAAGAGTCACCATCCAGAGCAGCTTAAAATTAGGCAGCAGTCACACATACACAAGTGTTGAAGCAGGGAGCTGGGGAGGTGAGAATCCCTTTTTTAATACAACGCTTACAAATTTGATCTGCATCAAAAATTCCTTCCCTGGGTCACTAACTCTCAGAGCTACCAAGAAACATGTTGGTGTGTCTCTTTGTATTTTTTTCTTTTTTCCTTTTGGTTTGTTTTTCCTAGTGAAAATTCAGATTGGTTCACTCAATTCTTAGTACTTTCCTCTTCCTGCAAGATAGTTCTTTCTCACCTGTTGCAGAATGAACTGCGTTTTGGGGACCAAGATGCTGTGATCCTTTGCCTGCACAAAATAGGGCAGAGAGCTGAGCTAAACTATCCCATCCTTTCCAAAGCATCACTACCATATAATCCCTGACCTCCAGGTAATCCCATTTATCCATGGAAGAGTTTGGTGTGGTATTTTTTCTTCTTCCACATGGAAACCATGCCCTTGCCTTCTCTTCCCTTAGTCATTGACCCATTTTCATCTGTGCTGAACCTTTCTGAGGCAGGGTACAGGCTCCAGCCCAAAGCTCTTGTGGGCATCACCAGGGCTATGGTCCCAGCTCCTGAGTGGCTGCTGTGTGGAAAATCCTTGAGTTCCCAACACTCAAAGCAGAGTCATCTGAAAGGACTGGGAATTGCTCTGTGTTCCTGGCAAGGGCATGCCAAGCAGCAGGCCTGGGCAGCAAGCACCATCCTTGGAAATGATTCTCCATGGTGGCCAAAATCACTGAGAAGTCTTGAGCCCCCCTTCAAGGCTGGTGCTCAGCCAGGGCTGTGCCATTGCCAAATCCCTGTGTGGCAGCACAACAAACCATCAGTTACAGCTGTAAACCAGCCTGGGTTCAGATTGCTGAGGCAGCACCTGGTGTGAGGCTCCTTGGGGAGGTTTGATGTGTGCTGTGGGTCCTAGTGGGTGGGAGCTCCTGGGGGGTTGCTTGGAGCAGCTCTGAGCTTTTCCATCTTCCATCCTGCATCCCCTGAGCCCAGCATGGCATCGCACATGCTGAGTCTCATTAGATCAGTCATGACCCCCAAAGTGAAGAGGGTGGAAGGTTGCAGCTCAGTTGGTGTGTCTCATGTTTTGGTCAACACAACATCAGTGACCTGGTGTACATTGACCTCTAGTTGAGAAACAATATTTTGGCCCATTTGGGCCTTTTTTTAGATAGGTATTTTATTTGAGCCAGAAAACAGTGGGAAAAAAGAGCCTAGTCTGCCCAGAATAGTGACTCCCCAAATATCCCCAACTGCAAAACATCCCTCAGTTGACTTCTAATGAAAATGCAAGCATGTTTTCTACAAAGGCTTTAATCTTAATCAAGGAATGTCAGTGTGCCTAATATTGCAGGTCTTGTGATTGATAACAAGTTCATAACAGCATCCATGTCCAAAAAGAAGGGAGAATGTGTATTTACTCCATGCATGTATTAAGGCATTGCAAAAGTTTTATCTGTAATGAGTTTGCAGTTCTGCAAATTGTTCATGGGGCTACATCGCAAGTGGTTCTCTGCCTTGACAATCATGTATACATATCAAGATTTCTATCATAATGACAATTTAAAGGGATGACTAATTGTTTTCCTCCAATAAATCCAATTAAATCAGCCTGATGTGAAGTCTGATGATTTTGAGTTCACGAGTCTCCACCCACATGCAAGAAAGGGAGTGAATAATTTCTGTGGCTGCTCCACTGCCCTGCTGTGTTTTAGGCAATGATGTTCCTTTATGTTCCAAAGATGAATAATAAGATTTTCTTTCTCCCCAGTTCACTCCATAGAGAAAGGAATAAAAAGGATGATTTGTCCTTTGGATTTTTCCTAAAGCTGTTGATGGAAATGGTGTTGAATGTCAACATATGGAGACATGGCTGTCTCCTGGGCACTGGGAATATCTGGGTGGGACTGGGGAAGGGACATGTACTTGGTGGAGACTGCTGCATGTTTGAGTTTGTCCTGGTGACTTACACACCCTGTGGTGGGAATCATCAAAGGAAACAGGATTTTCATCACTGAGAATTTCTGAGTCCCCTTGCAGTCAGCCATGCTCTCCAAAGACTGCTGAGTGCGCTCCATCATTGGCTTAATTTTCTTCCTAGGATGTCTTATGGCTTGCTTTTCATTTTCCCTCCTATTTTTCTCCATTGTTGTTCCTTATCTTCTGGTTTTCACTCACTGGGAGATTTCCTCTCCCATCAAAACAGGTGGCAAAACCAGCATGCCCAGCAGGGAGGTGGCCCTGTGCTTGAGGCCAGGGCTAGGTAGTTTTAGACACCTGGTTCAGTAACAGAGCTGAAACAAACAGCAATGATGGCAAATTCACAGCAATATAAAGAGAAAGGCAAATTACTCATAAAGCTTTTATTTTCTGCATGAAGAAACAACCCCCAGAACCAACATGGTACGTATTTGAAAGCTGTGGTGAGTAGCTGTGTTCTCAGAATTATTTTGGTGGTGGGTTGTACCAGGACAGGTGAGATAACCTCCAGTTTGTGCTCTGGAAAAAGCACATCCATGGCAAGATAGACCTTTGGAAAAGTACATCCATGTACAAAAATGCTGCCTGGAAGTTTGTTGGAGGTGGTGTGTGACACTGAGGCACAAGCACATGATTAGCAGTGTCAGGAGGAGCAACAGATCCTGTAGGAAGACTGTGCAATTTTCCCATGTGAACTCTGACATTCCTTTCACACTGAGGACCTCATTCCACCTGTATGTAAATTAGCCGGATTTAGCTCAGATTTGGCACTTAACAGTAGATAAAGGTCTATCCCACATTTCACCATGGAATTAAAATCTCAGCCAGGAAGACTTTCGTGTTTTGGTTTTAAAGCCATGAGTTCGTCCATAGATTCAGTGGTCACTCTGAGCCCACCAGGCTCTTCCAAGCTCCCAGAGAGACTGGGCAGAAGGCCACCCCATGACCACTGAAATCCTTATGCATGACATCCTGATGATGTCATGTCAATATTCACTTCATCTTTGTACATTTTCTTCACTGCTATGTGCTCAGCCACAAATTCTTGGCTGTTTGCAACAAGGGAGATAAAACATCAGTGCAGAGAAGCCAGAGGGACAAGACCAAGATGCAACTGTAGAAAATATTTTGCTTGCAACCTTGCCAGAATCCACAGCTATGTTTGCACTGGAGGGAAGGGGACTGTCCTTACTTTGAAGGCTTTCAGAGTGTGGATATGCACTGAGGCCTGGCCTGTGCCACACACCAGCCTTTCTTGGTGCTACTCCAGCACCATTTCTCACTCCTGCTCTCCAGAACTGTCCTTTCCCAGAGCCAGGGCTCCAGTGGGCTGTGGCAGCTCTTCTTGCCCAGCCAAGAGGAGTTTTGAATGGATGATACCTGCTGAGGCAGAGAAAGTGCAGGTGCACAACTTTGAGGCCCATCAAGGCTGAGCAGGGATAGAAAGGTACAGCATTCTGCACAGAGCTTTCAAATCAGTGCTTGTGCACTGTGAACAGTCCTGCCCTCTGTGATCATGCCTACATTGAATCTCTTCCTTCAGGCCACTTTCCCAGCTCTGTGAATCCACAAAACCACACTGGTCTTGTGAGGAACCCTCTGGGCAGCTTTCCATAGGGAGGCAACAGGGGCCTGCACTGCCCAAAAGCAATCCCAGGACACTCTAAGCTGGCACAGGGATAAAAGGATGCACTCTTCCCACCATTTTATGCTTCCTCCCAGCTCTGGATGTCCCTCAGGGAGAAAATCCACCTACATCACCATGGGTGTGAGCCCTGCCTAGCATACCTGAGTTTGGTGGGCCCTCTCAACCATGCTGAATTATTGTGGTGATAACCATTTTTTATTTCTTTGGGGGTGGGGAAGAAGGACCATCTGAATTATCACTGCCAGTATTCAATTGAGTATTTCCAGATTGTTTGGCATTTGGGCTTTTTGGATTACATTGGGATAAATTCCTGCCTTCCAAACTTTGTTTGCATATCCTGATTTCAAGAGTTCCTTTGCTTTTTTAGTCTTTACGTTTTTCTTTTTATAATTTCAATATTCTGATAAAGTTACGGTCAATTAATGATTCATTTACCTTCTTCATGAAAGTGTTTTGTTTAGGGAAATTAATAATAATAGAGCTGAGAGGCAATTTGTTGTTCCCATCAAGCTCACGAACTTTGTGCTTTCTTTGGCGCCATATAGACTCTTGTATGTTTTTCATTTTCTTTCTTTAGGGCAGAAGAAAGAGCTGTGCTCACATCTGTGCCTCACTTGCAGTCTAACAGTGACCAGAAATGCATAATAAATCTCAAACTAATGCTTCTTTTTGTTGCAGGCCAGCTGGGCAGGTACCAACCACATTAGGAATCACATATCACATCTTCAAGTTTGCATTTTCTCAAAGTAGCATCTGAAATGCAACTTTCCTTCCCAGTCTTTGACCCAACACAGCTCAGTGTAACACCTAAGTGGATCAGGGCCCTGTTCCACTACATGGAAAAACCAAAATTATTGTCATGGTGAGCCTCTACTGACCTTCAATGGGAGTTGACAGATGAACTCCTGTTCTCAACAAATAGAACACAGGTACATAATGGACACACACTTGGAGTTATAATATGTGGTAATACAATACAATAGAATGCTATATTATATTATATTATATTAATTATATTATATTACATTATATTATATTATATTTATATTATATTATACTATACTATATTATATTATACTATATTATATGTTTTATGTTATTACAATGTCTCTGTCAGACTAAAGCAGAGGGAAACATGACATCAGTTGAAGGTTTGGTACTATTCTGCTGTGCCTTGTCAGTAATGATCCTATCAAATGATAGGATTTTGCCATGTATTTCAATTACCTTTTGGTCACAATATCTAAAGAGGGAATTCATCTGTGATCAAGCTAGGGCTGAATTCTGAAGACAATGTGTGGCTTTGTTGCCACCAAACATCAAGTTCACTGCTGAGCCCACTGACAGTCACCTTGGAGGCTTGAACTGAGGAACTTCTTCCCTCTCTAAGTATTTGCAGTGTGCAGAGGGCACCACATGGTTGAGTTTATGGTTTGATTTGATGGTTCCCATTAAATCTGTGGAAAGAATGGAGTGTCCAGCAATTCCTCTGGAAGAACACCAGAGACCTTCAGGAAAGAGCCAACAGCTGTGGTTAAGATGGGTTTGTTAGCA